ACCCCTACCATAACTTTCCTTTCCATAATTTCATTTTTTGCACTTCCACCCCTGTTCCCTTTTATTATTTCAATTCCCACCCCATGGCTTGCTTCCTTTTTTAAATTTCAAAATTAAAAATAAAATGGACGATATTACGCAGCCACAAGATGGTCCGGCGTGGCGCCCACCACCGCATGGAAGTACCCTAAGATCCAACGTTTGAATTGATAACAATTTTCATTGCTTGTAAAATTTATGTTGGATTTTAAAAAAAATGAAAAAGTAATTAAAAGTAAATAGAATAAAATAGATGTGTTTTGAGAGTACAATACTAAAATAAACAAAATAAAAAAGTGACAAAGATTGAAATGAGAGAACGAGACCAAAAATTAAAATTTTACGTTTGAACTCTTAACGCCATCATCTTCGTATTCGAAAAATTTTAAAGAACAAATTAGAAAAAAAAAAAAAACTTTAAAAACCCAACTATTTTTATTTTTTTGTTTGCTTAAATTGAAGACAAACTGAAGAAGACAAGCTTTCTTTTTGGCTGGTGCCTTGGTTAGTTGAAAGATCCATATCTCCCACTTAAACTGTATACATGAAACTATTCACTAACCTCGCAAGCAGTTCAGTGTACAGAACACAGCACACATCCAACATATCCATCTCTGAACTGGGCCCTCCACAAAATTTTCACCTTTTAATCTTATGTTTTATTTTGTTCCCCTCAATTGAGTGTTTTCAGACCATCTCCTGTTCTTCACATATTTATATATATATATTAGATGTGTTGTGTAAGGGGCATTACTCATTTCTGCTATGGTCTGATTATTACAACTCTGTCGCCTATGAAGGGGATATGTGTGTACTTTATACCATTCCAAGGGCTTCTTAATTACCATTCTAAGTTTGTGGTGTTTGCTTGCTCTTGCTACTTCACTCACAACTCACCAGGTACTCTAGTGTCTAAATAAGGTCTCCAAGAGTAGAGTCGAGTCAGTCGACAAGTGGGAACTTGTTTGTATTCTAGTGTTCCCTCTACATCAGCTGTAAAGGAATAGCACCATTGTGATTTTCTACAGATTTCAGTCTAATTTTGGAGCAATTCTGTGCAATCAAGCCATTAACTTGCATGGAAATAGCTCTTAAGAGCAGTGTTTTCAACTAACTGTACAACATTTACTAAGTTTCCCATGGCTTATTGTGTTCAGAGATTTGGCCACCATCATAAGTCTGTGATGCCTTTCATGTTTCTTGACTGCATATGATTTCGTTCAATCAAGATTTCTTAAATCAATATTGAATTAGCCATAACCAGCCAGCCACAGATAAAACCACAGATAATCACTCAATAAATTTCACCTTTTCATATGTCAAAAAGCTGCCATTTGAACCACCTTTGGTGTCGCAAATGCGCTCAAAAAAACACTTGCCAATAGTACTTTATGTTGAGAGTCGTATTATTCATCTTTTTGGAAGATAGTGTGACAAAATGCCTACTTGATTCCGTATAATAAACAGTAAAGACGGCAATTGAAGTCATTCCTTCGTTAAACTAAGCACAACGTATCTCATGACACAGAGAAGAATAACTCGTTAGTTTTGACATGCGGAAGTAATGAACTTGTCCCCTATATCACTTATGCTGGCCAATTTAAATGGTTCCTCACATTAAAATATGGCAATGACAATCGGGTTAGCGCCGCTGCTTTCGGTCATCGTCATCTTCTTCATCAGAATCGCCACTCTCCCGAAACCTCGGATTCTTCTCCTGTTACAGCATGAACTGTTAAATACCGAAACGCGGCAACATAAACAGGTAAAATCACAGAGAAGCAGACTACATTATAATGGTTTTGCTGGTTGCTCCCACGTGTGAAAGCAAAAGGCAGGTAAGAGATGACATGGTGGAATAATTTGTTATAAAGGAAACATGGCAGGTAAGTATTTGACACTTCTTGTCAAACATTTAAGACAAGTTTGGCATAACCAAAATCATCTTTGATATTTTTAAAATTACTCGTATAACATTGTCAAGGACCAAAATCACTTTAAAATAGTAATGTTTGTCAATGATATGAGTCATTTTAGAAAATAGAAACACTCCCAAACATGCCCTTAAGTACCCTAGTGAAATACGGATAATTAAGAGAAGGCATAGTTCAAAACTTACCGGTCTGGATTCATGATCAGGGTTCCTCCTAGATTCATAATCTGACGTTCTCTTAGAGCTTTCATGGGCATGGTGATCATCATCTCGGTAGCGCTTACGATGGTAATCTGCATTTTGGAACAACAATAATGTAGTCAGATACCTAAAAGCCCACCATCATGCAAATAAATGGTCAACGGATGATTTAAAATGCTGTACAGATTTAATACCTCTACCATGCCGATGCCCATGTCCATGGCCTCCACCGTGTTTTCCATCTGCAGGAGAAAAAGAAGAGTATAAAAAAGACAAATCAAATCAATAATTTTATTAATGAGATGTATGCATAGCATTTCTCACAGCAACTTACACTGAGGTATCACTGGCGGCACAGAGCCCAGTGAACCGGTACCATAATCCACAAGCTGCCTCTGTGCTTCTAACTCTTTCTGGACCAACTTTCCATAGCCACCTCTGCGTTTGATTAATTAAGGAAACTAACAGGAAATGTGATATTTAAAGGACACGAGGTATCAAAAAACAACATTTTTAGAAAGTATTTACATATGAATGAGCTATGATATTAAATTTAACATTTAACAAAAATTAGAGACATGTTGCATGCCATTTGAGGAATGATAAAGCACACACAAGAAATCCAGTAGGGTCATCAGTGTTACACGACTAAAAAGACTAATTCTGTTCATTTTGGAATGATGAAATGTTCATTTGTTTCAGAACAGTTTGATGATGCCATACAATTGATACAAGTTAGCCATTCTCACTAATACAGTTATTGATCCTTTTAGGAGATGCTAACAGTTTTAATAAACTTAAGTTTATGAAGCTTGGCTTTGTGTTCTGTAATATTTGCTCGGATTTTGTGCAAAAGAATGAGTAATAGAAATCAATAATAGATTTGTTGTACCATATATAGAGAGAGAGGACTGAAAACGAAGATTGAGTTAATAAATGGTACCCAAGGGATAAAAAAGGAATTTTTCTCAGAGCATTTGGAACTGGGGTTTCCAATCTACATAGTAATAGTATTAGAAGAAAAAAAGGATATCAGGATCGTAGTCTGTTCGATATTCATCACGCACCTGTGAAAAAAAATGGCAAAAGAAAATAAACAGGAAGTGATGGTAGACTCCAGGTCATGAAAGTAACATAGGTCAGGAACAGTACCTGACCACCACTTCGACCACGACCCCATTGCCTGCCATCCTGAAACCCCCAATCAAAATCCACACGGATAGGACGATCATCAAGAATTGTTCCACTCATATATTTCACAGCATCCTCTGCATCTTCCCGAGAATAGTATCTGATGGGGTCAAGATAAAATAAGCAACAATTTAAAATTATTTGCCACATAATTGGAAAGACTTATAGGTAGATACATGTAAACAGTTTCTTGCAAGTATGAGTATGAAAGACATGACATGAGCTAACAATCTCAAGGTTAAAATGCACCCATACTTTACAATTTGGAATCAAATAGATCTAATATTGATCATTCCACCCCAACTGCGTTCAAATATTCAGAATGACTTGCACCAAACAGGTGACATTCAAGGGGAGCAAAAAATGTATGGAAGCATATGAAGCGAGATCAATAAGTAGAAGAAAGCAGTAGGCTGCATTAGTGGACCACTGATAGAACTCACAGAACCTAAAGAAGAATCATCATAAAGTCACAGTGTCAGTAACACGCTCGGGAAGTTGACTTCCTCCCCTCGTACAGGGGGCCTATCAACAGCAGACAGGTTGAGCATCAAGACATAAATAAATAAGTTTAGTAAATAATTCCAGTGGTAGAATATGATTGCGTGATTTAATGCTGATAAAAAGTACATCAATATATTCTACTGGTTAGGAAGAATTAAGAAGTCTTACAGGACAAAACAAAAGCCACAGGGTGTTTTCGTATTCTTATCCAAACCCATGATTATCTTCTTAATTTCTCCAGCTCGAGAAAAAAGCTCATATACTTGCTCTTCTGTTGTATAAAAGGACATATTTCCCACATAAACGGTGATTGAAGTCTGAAGTGCAATTTCAAATTCATCTTGGGTTCCCTGAAATCTTCTATCCCGATATACAGATAGCTTTGTCGGGTCCTACAAATGATGAAGTTGGAAGCACAAAGCTTGTCATCAATAGAATCTTAGAAACATTGTCTATTATCTAAGAAGATATATGCAACGCTGTCCCTTCCAATAGATTTCCTTATCAAGGTAATCAGAGCTTTTGACGCTTTCCAAACAATTAATGTTAAGACAATCCGATTGTAACATTGGGAATCAGAAAACCCTTTGCCACAATGATCACAAAACTATAACATCGATCAAAAGCTATAGAACAAAAGTGAAGTACAAAATTGCAATGGTCAAGGTAAATTTCAAAAGGACCGGGGGACTAGGTTTAATTAATTAAACAGGTGCTAACATCATAACATATCTTACATAATCCGAAGCACTTGTAAGGGAAGGGAAGGGAAGGGCTTACTCCCGACCCCCAAAAAGAAAGAGCAACATTTGGTACCAAAATGAGCCTTGCATCAAATAAATCGATCGAAACAAAACTTTTCCTTAATCCAGTTCATATAAACCCTCAAACATGCCCGTAGAACTTATTAATACATTTCTTTATACACCCAATAAACCCATTGGAGCGGAGAAGGAATTGACTAAGCAAAGAAATATTAGGCATGAACTGCAGGAAAAGATCTTCGTTATAAATAAATAAGCTTATAGTATGCAATCTACCTTGAACAACGAAGCCATGAACCCTAGAATAACAAAATCTGCACCGCAACTCGAAAACCCACTTTTGGCGAAGCAACTTAGCAGGCAGTTAACAAACCCAAGCTTCAAGATGAAATCCTTATATATGTGTTCGGAATCTGGGCAACAATATAATCACCCGGGCGATAACGAAAGGAAAAAGGAAGAACTAGGTGAACAGAGATAGAACCGCTCCAAATCAGAGTAGATGGTAATTATTAATTTATTGGATAGATTTTGCCTCAGAACTGGAGAACTCGTAGGGTGAGCTCAGTCGCCCAAATCCTGTCCGTTCTGCGACGGTGAGGTAAAATAAATATTAAAAAACAGAAAAATCTTTCTGAATGATCTTTACCGTATTTCTCATTAAATTATTTGCAAATTTATGACATAAATAAAAATTACAATACTCGTTTAAGCTCGCTGATGGTAACAATCATGTACTTAATGAATTAAGGGTAAAAATATATATAAATTATGCATGTAGTGTTTGGTTTTAAAATTCACGATTATTTGAATTTAGGTTTGGATATTGTTTTGATTTTTATTCCTCTCTTTTCAACATTTGTTCATTTTAATATATGTAATTTTTAAATATCTATTTAGATTACTGCATTTTAAAAAGAGATTATTTTGGTCCCTTTATTTTTTATTTTTATTTCATTATTTCGATTACAACACTTCAATCGTAAAAAATTTTGAAATACAACCATAAAATTGTATTATAATAAAATGTTTCCATACGTATAAATATTACATTAAAATTTTTTAAATAGGAAGAGAATGGTAAAGAAAATATCAAAATCGATATTTTGTAAGTACGGAAACTAAAACGAATAAAAAATTGAAATTACTGCTAAAGTAGACATTTTGAAATATAAAGAGAAAAATGAACCAAAAGTGAAAACTGCATAGTCTAATAATATTCAAATCTGAAATTTATAATAATATATTTCTATTTCTTATATAAATGTTGGCTCGCTTGGATGGGATCCGATGTCTTACTACTGATCCATTCGATTCGGTCCTTGGAAAAAAATCGAACCAAACTGATTTTTGCATTATTAATATTTACAAAAAGAAAGACCCCAGTTTTTGAATTATTTCGAAAGTGTCCCTTTCCAAAACATATTCCCGAAACTATCCCAACTGTTGTAGAAAGAGAAACCCTCAGAGTAGGGTTTTAGATTTCATTCTGAGTCTCAGCAGCCAACAGCCAACAGGCAACAGTCGAGTGCTTCTTGTTGATAATCTCGATCAAAAAGCTTTCAGTATATCAAATCTCTAGCATTTCATCTGATTAACAATGGCCTCACTTGGCGCTAGGTCTGTTTTCCGGTCATTTTCCGGTTCCGCACGCCGTGCTGCTGCTCATATCGGTTCTGAAGCCCGGGCGTCAAGCTCTCCCTTTCGCATGGCAACTAACAAGCCCCTCTCTCATCGAACTTTCAGGTGCGTTGCTTAATGCTATTTTGTCCATTAAAAGTACGAAAATCCACCCCGAATCTATAGCGCTTTGAGCACGGTGTTCAAACCCAACTTCATTTCCCCCCTCAGTTTTTTCACGTTTTGATAAAGATGTTTCTATGTTTGGCTTGAAGGTGTGCAGCTGAGATGAGCTTCTGTTTGGAGTCGATGATGCCGTTTCACTCTGCGTCGTCGTCAGCTTTGATGACTTCAATGCTCTCTATTTCGCGTAACAGCTGTGGTTGGCTTCCCGAAGGTGCGCTAATTGAAATTTTAATTCTCAGCTTTCTTGATGTGTCATGAGCTACGTCAGAAGAGGAAAGGAAAATATATTAAACTTGTGTAGTTTGGAATTTAGATCATATCTATAATTTCAGAAAGGGCTTCAGCTGTGGCTTTTATGGTTGATAATATTTGTTATGGACGTGTTTAGGTGCGCATATATATATCACTTTGATAATTTCATGGAGTTAGTTTTCTATTTGCATTAGTTCTTCGTTGGAAGAATTTCAGCTTAATAGTTTCGAACAGAAGCACCCTAGGAAAGGAGGTAGGTACTTAGCCCACTATGCCAAGATACAATAATAGTTTTTCTCGAGAAAGAGAGTTGTAGTTTGAGTGGGAATAATGATCAACTATATTTAGAAATTGTGATGTGTATATAAAGGTTTAGCAGTTAGGTTACAATATCCCCATTAGCCACATTAATCGGATGTTTCTGCCTATTAACCACCAAGAGGTATACCAAAAAAGATTTCTTTTGGGTTAAATTTAGCTATGATGTCAAGTAATTTGTTAATATCTTCATGAGGTTTTTTCTTATTAATGAGTATATCTGGTTTCTCCACTTCATATACAACTTATCATCGATTCATCATAGAGATTCTTGATCCAACTCTGTAATTTTCTTGATTCTTTTTTTTGAAAGGAGAAGTGGATCTGCTTCTAGGTTGTCTAACTAGTGGATTTTTTACTCTTGAATTAGGTAGCTAGCACACTTTATAGGCCCATTGATGTTCCTATTGCCTTCTTATTGCTCTGGTGAGTTGGTGCCTATAATCTTGTATAGGACTGATAAAATTGAACGGAATTATATAATAACATGCATACACAAGAACTTGATATTTTTCCCCCAATAGACAGTTTATTACATCAAGTAACTAATCTTCAAATTAGAATGCAAACAGGCTTAACAGACACTAATGTTTTGTTCTCTCTTTAGTCTTTCCTCCACCTCCCATGACCCGTACATGGGTCAGACTTAAGGTTCTTTTGGTGAAGTCGGGTGTTATAAACCTTCCCTTCATTGTTTGTTATGCTTGCTAGAATGAGTCATTTATGAGAAAAATTTTCATTTTATATTCAGATTGTTAATAAAAAAGTACATTCCCCTCTTTTCAATGTAGGCAAAGACAAGACTAGATGAGGATCAAGAAGCAGGAAGGAATGACTTGAGTTGTTTTGAGTTTCACCTTTTAAGTACCTAGTAGGCGATGCAATATACCCCAGCCCCACCCCCAAGACCAAAAAAAAAAAACTACTAGGTGATGATATCATCAGTAGGTTAGATGAGATGATTGTATTTGGAATGAAATAATAAACTATGATATTCAATTTGGTTCTTTGTGTTTGTAGATTGTTGTCTTAAGTGTTAAAGGATTACATACTCAATTTAATTCTGCAATTATTTTGGGTTACAGATTAGTAGATCGTTGCAGAATAAACTTTGCTTCTAGATTGTTTTCCATTTTCTGTTTTGCAAAATTTATTTGGTTTTAGAAGTGTTTGGTACTGTTGATTTGTTATCTTCCCATTTCATCTTCATAAAGTAGGTGGTTGCATTTGTTTTTACATTGTAACTCAACAATATATCAATATACTATGACTATCAAGTATCTTGCAAAGGAAAAATAATCATATAAACAGATCCGGTGAGTTAGGCTAAAACATGAATCAGTTGTTTGGTTAAAAAGGAGTTATCCTGTTTACCAATATATATATATATATATATTTTTATAAGAACCTATTTACCAATCTTGAGCTCTTGAAGCGAGAAATAGTTTTTGACGTCACCAAGCAGGAGTTTTCACTTTTAATTGAAAACATCTAATTTTTCTTTTTCCAATTTAATTGAAGGATGACTGATGAAAAACTAAAGAGTCTTATCTTAACTTTCTGAATGATACTCCGAAATGTCCAGTGGGAAAATTGCTTCTATTCTAACTAAAATGTATGCTGTAGTTTCCGTGACACGAGAATTAGGTCCAAACTTCCCACCTTTTAAGTTTAGACTAGGAAAATTTCAATCTACATCTCTTTGATGTGCATACTGATCAGCTCCCAGATTGTTTCTTGATTTGCCTAAGATCATATTTACAGTAATAACATACTGATAACCTGTGTTCATCAGCATGCAATGATGATCTGTGATTAATGACAAAAGGAATCGAGGAAGTTCTCTATGCAACTCACCATACGGACAGTGACTTCTATTATTTCTTAGAAGCTTCCAAGCTCCAATTGGTGGCTAGTGAAGAGTTGAGCTTCCAAACCAATGGCAATGGTTGATTGTTATTTGAAGACTAGTCTAAGTTTTTAATGCTCAAAATGTTCATCATAGGCTTGATGCTTTATGTAGTACAGGCTTATTGTTAACATTTATATGTGAATGTGATTCATATAAACTTTTTCATTGAATGTTCATTGAGAAATTGAAAGCTTCGTTTTTGCTGGAAAAGTGGGTTTGTACTTTGTAGGAGCTTCAACAAAAGTTCCTTCAACTTTAATAGGAGTGTCTTGATTGAGATATCAAAATGAAAATTTTTCTTTTACCCCATTGGTCAATAAGGGATCTTAGTAGCACTATCAACTCCTTATCTTAACCAACTTTGCGTTTCGGTTAAGGCTTCGTGTCTGTGTGAAACTTGCCTTGACAATTTTCTTGTTCTTGCTGTCTGACCTCCTCCTGTTTTGTTTTCTAGGGCGGTGATATTCGATCAGCGCGTCTAGCATGAAGGGTTGCAACAATGTTGAACTTGCCATTTTCATTGCTCGTCTGTACCTCAAAGTCATCTTAATCTATTGTGACTTCAACAGATTAGTTCATATCTTATTTTTTGCCCAGACGTTATAAACTCTGTTTCCTGAATTTTCATTGGATACGATTCAATACAGATGAGCTGCAATCCCAACTTATTTCTTCATTCATGCTAAAGATTGACTACGGTAACTTAAACCAAACTGGTCGAAATATTTTCCGAAAATTATGTAAAAGTGAATTGATCGATACTAAATTACTAATTAGTCAAATTGATTGACTGATTTAGTTTGCCTTTCTCTTCCTGCATGTGGATAGGAGTTTGTTGTGTCAAGTGAGAAAATAACTCTCTTCAAATGCAAGAGAGAGCTAACAACGAGTGAGATGGGAGAGAGCGGGAGAAAAGTGAACAAATATACATTTGCAAGGGTTAAACCATTAACTTTAGAGATGTTGATAGGTGCTTATATATTTGAGCTATTGGATTGGTATAAAAAATAAAAAAACTTGTCCTCTAAACAAATATATGAAAATAATAATAACAAAAATATTATCTCAAGCAAAAACAAATATCAATTGAGCTGTTCTCGAGACATAATGCTATATGATTGTCATTCTTAATCAAATTAGCCCAAATGAATTAACCTCTCCATGAACATACTAAGGCTAGTAATATGTAATACGTTAATTGATTTGGCTGTGACATTGTTGTAATTGTAGAGAACTTGGATATTTTGAGTAAATGAACTAAATGTTTGGTAATGAAATATAATCTAATTTTTTAAAATAAGTTTTCTTGACTTAATACTGATTTCAGGTGAGTAGAAAGTTACTGTCTTGTTCTTATTTGTGAAAACGCACCGTTCTCATTCTCCCTCCAAACTCTCTCGACTCATAGATTTTTTTTTCCATTCTCTCGTTCTCCTTCCTCATTCACAGCCACTGTGGGTTCTAAAGACACATCAAGGTAAGTATATTTTTTTTTCTCTAACTCTCAATTTCTCACCAAGAGAAAAGAGAGGGAAAAATAAGTAAGAAGAGAGATAAAAGGATTGATCAAGAGGAGATTAAACGAGAAAAAAAAAGAAGAGAGTGAGAAATGAGAATAAAGAAAAAATGGGTCGGAAAAACTTACTAGAATGAGATTGTAATTTCATAGTGACATGATATCACCAACGGATAAAAAAAAAAAACCAATACAAAAATTGAGCTAAACCTTTGATTTTTTTTTTGATCACTTGGACAAGGATACCAAATAACTTCTTCAATAAAATAGCCACCATGATTCATCTCCAAAGAAAAAGTTGGGTCATCTATCATCATATTTGTAAAATAAAAGTTCGTTCTTTATTTGCTCCTCGTGAAGAAAACATGAACAAATCAGGTAAATGGAATGTCAGTGGTCACACCCAGCGTGGAGAAATTACAGGGTTCAAACTTCAAAGTACATTCAGAAGAGGAGCCACCAAATTCCTCCTCTAACCACTACTTTAAGAACAACATTAGCTTTACATACTTCACACCTACAAAGCTGGTAGAAGGGTGGCTAGGAATTACATTACAGGGTTCAATCAAAGTACACAGCTTGCTTTCTTCCTAATTGCCTGTATTTTACATAAAGTTTGAAGATTATCATCTTCTCTACCTAAACAAGCTGTGAAGATGATCAGGACTCCGTTCCTCTGTCCATAAAATGTCGCTGCACACCGTAATTCTTGAATTTGAGCTGATTACTTCGGCGTTTTGAAACGCGAAACCATGAATGATGGGCAGTGGTAACCCCTTTCCCAAGTATACGTTTGCATTCGGCAACAAAGTAGTTTCAATCAGAGTCCACACAACTGGCTGCAAAATTGTAGTGTCAATAACTTTTAGAATATTGTTCATTCGGGAGGATAAATGGAATAGTAATCTACCTGAATTAGGTGCATATTCAGACTGCCAATATTGCTCCACCTTAATGACATATCAAAATCGTTCAAATCGATGCTGCCCATAAGGTTGTTCCCCGAGATTTTAGCCATACCGGAGGCACGAACCAACTGAAATTGCAAAGAAGGGGATTAAGTCTATCACAAGGTGAAAATACTACTGCTTCCACAGTGGTTTTGCAGTTGAAAAGAGATGTCTTATCCATTGAACTACGCTCAAGAGATGTCCTAACCATTGAACTATGCTCAAAGTCTAGTTGATTTAAAGTATCCGTCCATAATTCGAATCCCCCACCTTAGTTATGCTCTTTCTAAAAGAAAAGGAACACCAACTTTGCATGAACTTACCAATGAGATGCACGCAACAGGTATTAGTTCACCTGATTCTACTACATCAATTATCAGGTCTATGTTCATGGATGCAAAAATCTGGTCCTCTGAAATCCGTATGACTGGCAGAGAAGGTAAAGAGATATTCAAGCTCATGTCAGCATCAGGAAATTTCTTGTACAGTTGGGGAACAATAGATCTCCATCCAGCAGTATTTAGAAGTGGCTGGTCTGGCACTTCATTCAAGCTCCACTGCATAAAATCTGCCTGACCATGAAAGATAATTTTATTTGGTGAAAACAACCTGATTGCAAAATAACACCAAGAATTTGAAAGGAGAAGAAAGATAAGATGCATAGAATAGTATTTGAACCTACATTGTAGTATAGGGCCAAAGCAGAGTTAAAGACTGCTTCATCTAGTGTTATTCCAAACATTTTAGAAGGATCTGTACAGGAAGCTGAAGGTGAATTTTCAAAGTGGTACTCAGGTATTGGGAGAAGTTCTCTGGCCCTAAACAGACCATTGATCTTTAAACCAATCGAGGAGTTACTAAGGGTGGGGTTTTCCACAAAAGTAACATCATAAGAAGCATTATCATCCACCTGAACTTCTTTCGGAAGTGAATGCAAAAAGGAATCAACCTTTAAGATTCCATTTCCTAGTTTCTTACAAATCGCCTTCTCAACAGCAGAACTTATTTGTTCTTCAAATGCATCAACGAACCTAGTATAGAACACAAGAGAAGACGATTAGAACAAGCAGGAAAAATGTGCATTATTCTTCTCAGAGAAAAAAATGTTTATAAACTAAGTGCAAGTTCCACTCAAAGGCATATCCTATAATTTGACACTTAAAAGTATCAGCAGTTCCAGCGGTTTATAAACACACAAGAGCTTGATTTTAATTGACCTACCTTATTATTAATAATTTTTCAGAAAGGAAAAACTAAAGATTTCATCTTAAACAGAAATATGCTATGTTAATATGTCTGAATCAACCTAGCTACTTTAAGATCCTGAGGAGGGAACTTAAATGGACAGAGGATCATAAGATAATGCTTCTGGGCAGAAGCGAATGACGGTGGGAATGCTAGTGATGCAAACATTTGATCATGAGGAGGAAAGAAGAATAGTTAGAATAATGCTGATGAACTCAGACTTTGCACAACAAGAGCAAGAAGCATGAAACACAAATGACTCGGTGGTTTTTGTACAGTATTGGTTCTCTTTCTCATTCTTTAAGTATTTTACAAACAGCAAATGTAAAGGTCAACTAGAGAGGTTTCTGCAACTTGTTCGTTTAGACGTATTGCGGCCGTTCCCCCTTCCGCCCCACACATTTCTCTAGATCAAAGAAAATTTTTACAAGATTTTAAAACATGCTAAAGGTGAAAGTAGAGGGAGATCCACATCCTGGATGAGCTCCTTTGGTAACGTAAACGAGATACATACCCTTGATAAAGCCAAGACGCTCCTCCATCCAACTTTATAGATATATCTTGAACAGAACAACCACACTCCACAAGAAATAATTTTAGAGTACCTTCTTGAATCTCCAATCCTAACGTGAGTCCAACTTCCATGCCATCGACCTGTTTCGTAAGTGATTTTATCAAATTAACCATTTAATGAATAGACAGAGACAGATGGAGATGGATATTCAGAAGATGAATGAATCCAATTTGCAAAGAGCTAAATACGTGGAAGACAAGATTTCCTTTTTAAAAAACCTTATGCTAGTCTTAGATATAGATGCGATTGTTATTTCTTATTTTCTCATAATGATGTTATTTAAAATCGTAATGTGAAAGCCTCTCTTATTCTCAAATGATGTGTGAAACCCGATCTTTTTTTTTGAATTTATGAATTATAAAAATGAAGGTCTTGTGTTTTTGGCACTAATGGAATTCAATCAATGGTATTAAGTCTCTTAAGACCGATTTAGGTACTCAAATTTAGAGTCAAATCAAAGCAACAAGCAAACTTCAAGAGAATAATAAGAGTAGAACCTACCCAAATTATTGAAATTTGTTTTTGGTTCATTCAAGTCGTGAAACTTCCTTCCTAAGACATCAATTTACTTGGAACTATTTGAATAAGCAACATGCATCTTCAAATTCAGCACACTAGGGGAAAATATGCCCTCTCATCATCTAAAATATTTTTAACAAAAATCTAACCCACGATATTGCCAGAAATCTCATCCAAACTGCATTCTGTATGCAGGTAATCAATTACTTTTCTTCTACACATTATGTCAATAACAATTTAGTGTAAAAAAAAGTACCAAATTCCATTCCAGCACTCATTGCTAACAAAACTGGACAACTTCTTCAAACTTCGGACCGACTACAGACATCATTTGAAGTTAAAAATATAGCGACAATTCCTAACCAACAAGGCATCTAACCTGAACAGAAGCCCGTCCTCGATCAGAAATTTCAGCTGGAACAAGCCAAGTACTATATGAATAACCCCAATCCATGTTCAAGTTACAGGTAGTGCCTGAAGCAACAATAGCAACACCAGAATCGCCCGGCTTGACATTTGAGGAAGCAACATCAACTTGGTATATGGTAGTGTTGGATAGCACCATATGAACGTTTCCCACAAATGGTATTTTGACAGTTTTCTCAGATTTAGGCAAGTTGATCGGAATCATAGAAGAAATTGCTTTATCTATGAGCAAATCTTTGAGGTAATCAAGACCCTTTTGGGATACAACCGCAGATGTGAAGTATTGGTGGGTCGGTGAAGGATGAGCATGTCCCGGGATGAACCAGGAAACGAAGAGGAGCAGGAAAAGTATAGGAGCCATGGAGAGTTTTGAGAGAAACTGAGAAACCAATTGGCGAACAAGAAAATCAGAGGAAAAGCCACCCATGACACAGGGCAGCTTTGAAACTTGACACTGTGAAATGTCATGATTGCCCACATGCCAGAGAATGAAATTATAAATTGTTACTTTTTCCTCGGCTTCTTCTTCTTCTTCTGATGGTGTTATTACAATTACTGCCCTTTTGCTTATTATTATTATTATTTTTTTTTCTAGTTTCTAGTATCTACCTTCTCGTTCTGTGGTCAAAGTTTGGTTTCACCTGGCTACTCTTCTTGGCCTACCATTAAAAATTTGTTCTTTCTTCTGACCCATAAAGGGAAACCGACGCCATCCCCCGCCCCCTCTCCCAGTGCGCGAAAAAGAAAACGGATTGCGTTTGCGAAGATGGCTTTACAAGCTGGGGTTTCAACGTCCAAGGTTCTCATCCTCGTTGGAGCAGGTCTTTTCCATTGGCCTCAGCTATATCTTCATCACTCATCTTTATTCAGTTTTTAGCTTTTGCAATCTTATTTATGGTGGCCTCTTGATATTGGCAAAAGCCAATTTCGTTGGTGTGCATAATTTTTGAGTCGGAGTATATATCTTTAATTGATACTTTTTTCTCTCTTTACGTCGTCTCCTTGGCAATAAGATTACAAGTTTCGTCTGTATTGAATCTTTTTCCATCCATCCATCGATGTTCTACTCTAATTATTGGGTTTCTCTATCATCCAATAGGGTTAACTGGTTCCGTTGTTTTAAGAAGTGGGCGGTTGTCTGATCTGATATCACAACTTCAGGAATTACTGAAGGGTGTGACAGAAGCCGAACTCTCTCCTAGTCCTCACAAGTATGATACTGCTATTCTGGCCGCACAGGTTCGCAGTTTTGTTTCCCTCAACTCCACTGTTCATGTTATTTTATCCCAGAAGAAAATGAGTGAAATTTTGCTCCTGTTTGGTAATTGGGTGAATGGAAAAGTTATGGCGAAGTATCTATTGACAACTGATGTACCCCAAATATGGTGAAGCAACTTGAATATGAATTATTCCTCTAGTTGAACTCCAAAAGAATGCCAGATGTAATTGCTATGGTGATATCAAAATAATCAACGATAATCAAGATTTGCTATTTTTATTAGAACTCCACTGTATTATCTGTTAGTTGAATCCATTGGTCTAAAAGCCTAGCTAAGTTATATATATATATATAAAAGGGTTCTGGTCATTGATTTATGAAAATATGCAACTCAGATTCGGCAACTGGCACAAGAGATCAGGGAGTTGACATTATCTGGTCCTGTAACTGTCTTCAATGGGAACTCTTCTTCTAGCGGTATGGATGTGTACTTTTTTGTGAACTCTTTGTTTAAGGATTATGGTTTCTGGTCTTTCTTTCTCTGTATGCTCTTATTGAAAAATCGCAAACTCCTGTGCATAAATACTTGATTAATGTTGATTAAGTGAGCACCCATTGCCAGTGAAAAGAAACAAGTATTTTCCCAGGACAATTGAAACAATGCAAACTCTCAAGTATGGAATGATAACATACTTGAACCTTCGATTTTGCCTTGTCCTTCCTAATCACCATTTATTAATTCCTGAAGCTTGGCTCTTTTGAGGTTTCAACAAAGAGAAGTATGTGGTGGATAATTGAATGAAATCTGGCTGTAAGATATATATGTTTCTTAGAATGCAATAACTGTTTGTTTGATATTTGGAAAGATAAATGTCTATTTCATATTTCTCACCCAATCATCATGTTTTCTGAATCCAAATTTTAAGCCTGTCGGACTCGAGCTGGGAAATTTCACATTAAATTTCGTAAGACAAACTGTAGATGGGATCCTAGGGTTTTCTTAATTGAGTTCTCTGCATGGCCTTCAAGTCATTAGTTACAAAATACGATTAATGCTTCTCATGAAGTCCCTCCAAAAGCATCTGTTTGTTTGTCTTTTCCTCAAATAAGATAACACATTTGACTCATGGATTATAAGTTCATATTTCCGCTGCCTTGTTTATCTTTTCTTCTTTCAGGGAACTATTCTTCTTACTTGGTACCAGCAGCTGCAGTTGGAGCAATGGGCTATTGTTACATGTGGTGGAAGGTAAAACCTTCTGGAAAATTTTAACTCAGCAAGACACTTTTAAGTGCTGTGTATAAATATACTTTTGCAGCCTTCTTTGATTTGCTTACAACTTTTCTTTCTACTACCTAGCAGGGATGGTCATTTTCTGACATAATGTTTGTGACGAAGCAAAACATGGCAAATGCTGTCTCAACTGTCTCGAAACAACTGGAACATGTGCATGAAGCTCTGGCTGTAAGTTACTGGTTAGACATTGTGTAATGACCTTAAACTGAAAAGCTAGTTCATCAGTACTTTAGTTTGAAACCATTATGTTCTTCAGTCAACAAGGAGGCATCTGACAAAGAGGTTGGAGAACTTGGATTGGAAGCTAGATGAGGAGATCGAAACAACAAATCTCATAGCAAATAATGTAAGAACTACCTTTGAACTTTTGAGTCTTCATGGCTATAACATTCTGAGATTTTACCCTCAAAGATGAAGTTTATCGAAAAACCAACTTTATTATATGAAGCATCTTATTAGATCCAGTGTGTACTTGTTGACTAAAATTGGTAAGGAATCATACTAGCCTTTTTTACTTTCATGGCTATTATGGAGATTGAGATCAATATTTTAGTCTTTCAAAATTTTCTTTTGAAGCAACCTCTCCCTATTCAAGCCTTTCATCTACTTGAGATTTCTCTCAAATTCTTAAAGAAGAGACCATTTTGTGAAAGAAATTGTATAAATCTGCATACTGTAAATGCAACATCCTTTGAAGTTTTATCCACTTGCAGGTGGAGGACGTCAAGTCCAACCTTTCTCGGATTGGTTTTGATGTTGAAACAATCCATCAAATGGTCTCACAATTGGTGAGTCACTCGCTACCTTAAATCTCTTTCTCAGATGAAAACCGTCATCCAACCCGTTCCTGAATGGCCACTGACCCAAACAACAAACAGGAAGGAAAACTAGAGGTTCTTGAAAAGAAACAGGACATCACTAATTCTGGTCTCTGGTATCTATGTCAAGTCGCGGGAGATGTCAAGGACCGCATAAACGACAAACTTTTCCCAGTGAGTAATTACCCTCACTATCAGTTTGCTGAAAGCCTGAAAGCAAGTTCCCTCTCTCTGAAGTGGATATTTTGATTAACTTTTGGCAGGAAGTTGAGGCAAAGAAGAATGCAAATCATTTGACGATTAAATACGAAGAGAATTCTCTCAAGGTATGAGATGCTGCACTTATAAATTATATTTCTGGACAGAATGTTGAAGTGCCCAGTATTCGTTACAGGGACTGCAGTTCATTGCTGAAACCAAATACTCCACTGTCACTGCAAATCCAACTGGAGTGAAGGGAAATAGCCTTGAAAAATTCAATAGTGAAGAACTTGCTGTAAGAAGAACAAGATTGCACAGGTCATATCCTGTTGGGATTTCTTTGGCACGAGATATTATGGGCTGTGATACATAATATTTTTCCTCCTTAGAAATGAGTTTCATTCTCTGGCAGCGATTCAGAGCCGCCATGAATATATATCCATTTTCTGGCAGTTATTCAATGCCATTTTTACAGCATGAGATGCATTTGTTGCTTTGCAGATGAAAATAATGCCTTCAAGGTGAAGGCATACAGGTTTTACAACACTTCCATTACTTGTACAAGTTGTATGAAACATTATTAATGTGAGATATCAATGAAAAACAGTGCTCATCTCTCTCCCTCATTTTCTATCCCTGAAGATTTTTCATCCTTGTTGTACAATTTTCCGATTTGAGAAATTTGGAGTTGGAGGTCGGAGAATCCTTGTGAAGGAATTGGAGAAAATAAAATTTTGCTATGTTCCAAAGGGAGTGGAAAAATTGGTAGAAAGGACGAAATTCATGTAGGATATTTTAAAAAATATACATTTACAAGATTGTTTTAAATAATTGGTGATATAGATTTTTTTTTAGTAGTGTTATGTTGCATTCATTATTTAACCAATAATTTTATCCATTTCAATAACATTTTTATTTTTATTTTTTGATATTTTATTTAACAATATCTAATGATGTTGAGATATAATTTGGTAATTTATTAAATAGAATCCAGTAAATATTGTATAGCATATTTGTTGAAATTGAAACAGCCCTTTTCTAATTATGGTATGAATTTTTGTTATTTATTATTGTTTTGTTGGTGGGCTGGGCCCGAGTTGACAACTGGATAATGACAACAAGTTGGTTCACCGGCCCAGGACATTTCGGGTTAAATTCGGGGCACCGTAGTCCAATTGGGTCACTTGACGAACCGACTCTGCCCTCTCCGTATACAAAAGAAAAACGCAACCTAGGGCTTCCAATCTTGCGTTTTTGCGTTGATTTCCACCGGCCTCTGCTTCTGGTTTACCTTCTCTTTGGTAAAGGTGAGGAAATACTGTTTCTGAACCCACTTGTTTCTTCAATTGTAATATTCGTTAAGGTTAATATCATATTTGTTGTCAAGTATTTGTCCCGATTCTCCGATCTTTGTTGTGCGGCTTCTTCTTTCTGTTAGTTTATTTTTCTTCCTCGGATTAGCTGGAATTATGACCTTTTGCAGATAATTTTGTTTATGGGGTGGGGGATTTATTATCTTTTGATGCGCTAGGTCTTCTCCCCTGCATGCGATTGAAAGTTTCACATTTTCTTGTAGATTGAGATTGTTCGTTTTAGATTATTTATTTTCTTTCTTTTAATCGATTAATTCTTTTATGATTCTAAGGGCGGTTTTCTTTTCTCGTTTTGATTCTGGGGAAGGATATTAATTTTACAACTCACTTTTTTGAGCTATTGAATGGTTTTATTAAATTGCGTCTTTTTCATCCTATCCTTGTTTCATCTGTGGCGGGCGCTTGATGACTGCAATTTTCTCAATAAGAGCATACATGAAAAATGGATTACTACTAACATCTAACTGCAAGTGATAAATATTTGCCTCTCGCTGTTCTTGTAAGCGCCGTACGGAATATGGATGTTTGGTTTGATCGTTTTGTCTTGTATTTTCCTGCTTTGTATAACTTGATGCAAGTTGTATGCTTGAGATTATTATATGTTCTTAATGGTGTGATGTGAGCTGTGAAGCCATATTGCCTCTGTATTTTGGTTGCATCGCAATTTCTAATATTGCAATTGCAAATTTATGACAGAAACAACAAACAAACATGCCAAAGAATAAGGGAAAGGGAGGAAAGAACAGGAAGAGAGGAAAGAATGAAGCAGATGATGAGAAGCGTGAACTTGTGTTCAAGGAAGATGGTCAGGAGTATGCACAAGTTCTCAGAATGTTGGGAAATGGTCGTTGTGAGGCAATGTGCATAGACGGGACAAAGCGCCTTTGCCATATTCGGGGGAAGATGCACAAGAAGGTTTGGATAGCGGCTGGTGATATTATACTTGTTGGTCTCCGCGACTATCAGGATGACAAAGCTGATGTTATCCTCAAGTATATGCCTGATGAAGCAAGGCTGTTGAAGGCATATGGTGAGCTTCCTGAGAGCACACGTCTGAACGAAGGTATTGCTGGTGGAATCGACGATGAGGATGATGCTGGGGGTGATGATTATCTTGAGTTTGAGGATGAAGATATTGATAAGATTTAGATTTTGAGTAACTTTTACATTTGGAGTTTAGAGTTCTGGATAAGACACTATGTACGTTTCGTAATTTGGATTTGCTGATAGTTGGAGGGGGGGAGCCAAGAACAAGGGTCAATTGCCCGCGTCTTAGCTTCAAATATGTGTATAAAAATTTGAGTTCTAAAGATTATATATTAAAAGACCCTCTTACAATAATTTCTGACTGCTCATACACCTTGTACTTCTGTTCTGTTGGTGAATTGTTGTTTATCATAAAACCTGATATTTATGCCTTATTCGGTTCTCTTTTGCTTGTTCAAACAACTTGAATGAATTTTAGAAAAGGAGTAAGATGCTCGTACTCATGAAGTTGCAGTGTTTATGAACATTGTCTGCTTAGTTACTACACGAACTGGAACGTGCAAGGTTAATCATGATATTACATTTAATTTAATACAGTTGTAAACTGTTTATGTATGTATGTGTTAGTTTTTTTATCCCACTTGGTTAATGGGTTATTAACAAAATTGACCTATTGAAGTGCTTTTATGTTCCAATTTGCTTGACACAATTGGACGAAAATTGAAAGGTATCAACTGTAAACATTAGAGAAGTTGGTATGGGTCAATCTTAACATAGCTAGCAAATTAAGACATCTATATTTGATTAGAGGTACTCATTTCAGTATTTGAACTTTCAACATTTTTCTGTTTAGTCTTTTAAACTCTATTTTGATCTTTTAATATTCGTTGACTTTTTTTTTTCTTTTGAGTAGTACGACATGTTGGGGGGAAGTATATGTCAATTACCGCTTAGCTATGCTCGCTTTGATAATATTCGTTGACTTAATACTTATCCTAACGAGTTCCAAATACATGTCCATATCATCACATTAATATATATGTACTCAAAACTATGTATCCATTTATAGAAATTAAAATATATGTAATGACTAAAAGATATATATATATTTTTAAATTATGGTCCTAATTTAAAAGTTTATGAATCAAAACTGAATAAAATCTACTTTCCAAGAGAAATAAAAAAAAATTGAATAAAATCTAAAAGTTTATCAGCCCAAATAGAAAACATGAAAGTTTTAAAACTTCAATGAAAAAAAGCCGAAAAAATATATTATAGTACTTGGTTCTAAATTTTCATCGACACGTTGACATTTCTATCAACATATCTATATTTTTATAGGTTTGACATGAGGGATAAATCCATATTTTCATCATAATATAAAAAAATCGACAAAATATGAAAAATATTAACAAAATATCATAAATATATACTTACTCATTTTCACATTCGGGAGATCTACCGTTAAAAGAAGAGTGAATTGAAGTCAAATATTGATGGCCGCCACAGTCAAATCAGTCCAAACGGGCGACACTCGGCAAAAAAGCTTTTCGGTAGCCAGTTGCCACCCTTTAGACAGCCCTAGACTCTACACGTCCTCTCCCAGCCTAGGTTTTTGCAATATTAATCCAAACAAAAGTGATAAGATTTTTAAAATGGAAAGTTTGTTTATAATTTGCATAGAAAATTTTAGTGAAAAATATATTTGAGTTTGATCTATATTTAATCCCTAAATTTAAAAAATATCATTTTTAATTTATAAAATTTAGTCCTAATTTTTATTTAATTAATTCTTAAAGTTTTAAAAGTGACATATTTGTTCTCAGAAGTTTGAATTTAAATTTAATTGGTTTCTAAGGTTCAATTTGATCAATGAGATTTGAGTTTGATTTCTAATTGATTCTTCTATGGAATATACCATTAGTTAACTTAAATATGATGTGATAATTAACATATGTTGATTAAATTTGGTTACTTATGCAAAAGATAATGAGAAATGTTATTAGCTTGACCTAATTAGAAACCAAATTCAAAATTGAAGGATCAATTAAAAACTAAATTCAAACTTTAAAAACTAGACATGTCATTTTTTAAGCTTTAAAGATCGAAGTGGAGTTCAATATAAATCTCAAGAAAAAAATTATAATTTTTTAAACTCCAGTACCAAATAAAAACTAAGTCCAAATCTCAAAAACCCAAAAGTGTATTATTTTACCCAAAATTTTAAATCTTTTATCCCTCTATTTTGATATATATATCACTTTTTACTCTCATATATGACTCATTTACATCTCTTAATATAATATATACAATATATTATTGATACGAGTATAATAGTGATGGATTGTACCATTGATGCATATCAATATTGCTAAATTCTATAAATTGACCCATATCATCCTACTAGTAGATTGTATCTTCAATTTGAGTCTATCGTACTTTATCATTAAAATAGATGTTTCACACCACTATTTTAGACTTTTTGGTTGAGCGGTTTGTAAATTCATGATATTGTTGCAATATTTATATTTAATTGTATTTATTTGGCCACAATGCAATTAGGGCTTTGAAAAAATCAGCGTGTCACACATTCAAACATTCCGGCCCCGATCTAACACGTTGGTCTATCCATTTGGAGCCACCATACTATAAATACATACCATATGAATGAACTTTGATCACCCATCCATCCCCAAATTATCAAAAATAGTTCCATCTTGTGAGCTTGGAAAATCAGTCGAGTTGCATTTTCCCAAGTGAAAAAAAGAAAAACAAAAAATGAGGTCCAAGGCTGTTGCGTTTGTTTGTCTGTTATTTATCTCTACTGTTGTTATTGCATCGGCAGTGTCTGAAGGAACTCAAGAGCAGAATGAGGTTGAAGGTATTGTATTCTACAAATATTCTTTGACTATATATACATAAATTTGTTGTCATTATATACTATACTCAGATCTAAACATGATTCATATGTCCAATAGTGTAATATTGATATAATAAATTTATTTGTATCTTGCATTTTAGAGTTAGTCGATTTTAAATATTCAAATGTTATGATGTAATGTTAATTATTGGTTGATGTGAGGGAATACAGTTGAAAGTGGAAATTCAATAGAAGACTCCAAGCAACGCTGCCGCCATGGATGTTGCGTCGTTAATCGCCACACTCTTCGTTGTGTCAGATGTTGTTCTCGTCCTCGTTCTGTAGAAGTGCAAGCCACCCTCCAAAATCAAAATGGTTTTAACTTTCATTATTTTTCTATTTAAATAATCTAACATCTAAATATAATGTACAGTATATTTAATTATTTAATTTATAGATAGGAATGCATTTTTCATATTGATGTCTTCAAATTAATTTATTCCTTTAGAAATAATAATGATCCTGTATCATATTAAAAATATATATGTTAATGTTAATTATTGGTTGTTATGGATGAAAACAGTCGAAAATGAAAATCCAGTAGAAGAATCAAAGCAACGTTGTCGATACGGATGTTGCCGTTTTGATGGTCGTCGTTGCGTTAGATGCTGTCGTGGTCCTGCAGAAGAAGAGGCCACCATCCAAAACCAAAATGGTTTCAACTCTCGTCCTTTTTAATTTAGTTAGATGTATAGCTATCACTTTGAAGTAAAACAAATGTATCCTATACATTTAAAAAGAATTGTATCGTGAGATTTGGTATGATTGTGCATATTCAGAGAACACAGTAGAAGAGAGTGAAGTGGAGACGAACGGATTCGGAAAGGGAGGAGGCAAAGGCGGGAAAGGAGTCGGCGGAAAGGGAGGAGGCAAAGGCGGAAAAGGAGGGAAGTGATCAATGCAATGAAGCTGTTTTATGTCTTTAATTATAATAAATATAATCATATAGTTGTAGTTGTAGGGTACCCAAAATAATGTTAGGGGGTACCATGCCCCATAAAATAAGGCAAAAATAAATAGAAGCAAAGGGATAGGTGGGGTAGAATAGAAGGGTTGGATCCCTTCACCAATATGGCACCTCTACCTTTTAACCCTCTACTTTATGTTTATCTTTCAACTAAAATAAGCATATAATAATGCATGGTTGTTTGGTTCCAATATATGCTCATCAACTTGTCAATCTCCTCCTCTCTTTCTCATTCCTAGCAAAATATGTAAATTAAGAATATAAATTTTATGCTAATGATATCGACCAAAATTCAAAAATATACCTTGTAATGGTACATCGATTTGAACCTATATAGTTCGATCAGTAAGACATATATACAAGGTTGAAAGGGAACTTTGAAAGCTAATTTATCTTCCCTAATATTTTTTCAATTGAGTATTTCAACTTTATTTTTTGTTCTCTAATATTGAAGTGATTTTTTCAATTGGATCTTTATGTATTCAATTTTTTTCAATTAAATTCTTACCATAACTCAATTTTCAATTTTGAGTATAATATATGTTCTTGAACTTTATAATATGTATCTAAATCTTTAATTTTGTATTTAATAGTATACAAAATAGAATTTTAAATCTCATATAAAGAAATGATGGGAGAAATCTATGAATTTGAAATTCTTGCCAACTATTCAAATTCTTCCCAATAATTCTAAACATGGATTTGATCAAGGGTCCAGCATGACTCAACTGAATATAAAGACTCGAATTCACTAACCATCATATTTTAAAAAAAAAAAAAAAAACAAAAAAAAGAGTTCAAGCGAAATTACGATGACCACATCTTCACCTCTCCACCAAAACTGGCAAATGAATTTAGATATTGCATAAATAGCTATCTAAAATTTAGACACCTATTTCTTATTCACATATTGTCCACTTTACCCTTGACAGGTGGTTATATGGCTCGTAGGTTTTGTTTTCTAATAGTCAACCTTCAAATTTTAAAATCAAAAGAGAAGTTGTATTGGGTAACTAAATTTTTATATATATATTTACAAAATGTAAACCTCTCCTCTGTTTTGTAAATATGACAAAATATTTAAATTTTTATTTTCAGAATATTTATTATTCCAAATTTACCCTTTTAATGTCTAATATACACTCCTCGATGTATATTTGATATACGTCGTCCGATGTATCATCTGATATTACATTATATATATACCTCTAATTATGATATACTAAATGTATTTGTAACTGATATACTGAAGGTAATGCATATCAAATGTTTAATCTTTTAGTAGCGTGTCTTGAAATATTATTGTAGTTTGAGATTAAATATCTTGGAGTGTGCTTGTTTTAATTTATGAAATAATTAAAAACTAAATTCAAACCCCAAGAATTAAACATGTCATTTTTTAAATTTCAATGATCGAATCGGAGTTAAATTTAAATCTCAAGAACAAATCTTTTAAACTCATGAACCAAGGAGAAACTAAGTCCAAACATTCCACGACTAAAAGTATATTTTACTCAAAATTTTAAATCTTTTACTTTTCTATTTTGATATTTTTATATCTCATTTTTTACTCTAATATATCACTTATTTACGTCCCTCAATGATATAATATATTGCAATTGATTGGAGTATAATAGTGATAGACTATATTATTCATAGATATCAATATTGATAAATTCTATAAGTTACATTGGTATATCATAAGTCGACCCGTATCACTCTATTTTTTGGAGATATGTGTCAATTTACCACTACGTCATGCTCGCTTTGACGACCCATATCACTCTATTAGTGAAACAAGCCTATCAAAAAATAGATTATATCATCAATTTGAGTCTATCATACTTTATCATTAATAGATATTTCACACCGCTATTTTAGTCTTTTTCGTTGAGCGGTTTGTAAATTAATAATATTGTTGCAATATTTATATTTAATTGTATTTATTTTGCCACAATGCAAGTAGGGCTGTGAAAAAATCACACGTCACACGTTCAAACATTCTCAGCCCCTATCTAACGACACGTGTTGGTCGTCCAGATTAAAACCAAATGAGCCAACTCGAAAATATCCATTTGGAACCACCAAACTATAAATACGTAGCATATAAATGAATCTGATCATCCATCCATCCCCAAATCATAAAAAATAATTCCATTTGTGAGCTTGGAAAATCAGTGGAAGTTGCATTTCCCAAGTGGAAAACAAAAATGAGGTCCAAAGCTGTTGCGTTTGCTTGTATATTATTTATCTCTACTGTTGTTATTTCATCGGCAGTGTCTGAAGGAACTCAAGAGCAGAATGAGGTTGAAGCTATTGTATTCTACAAATATTCTTTGCCTATATATACATAAATTTATTGTCATTATATACTATACTCGGATCTAAACATGGTTGATATGTCCAATAGTATAATATATATAATAACTTTGACAGTAGTAAAATATTGTTCGATAATAATTTTAGAGACACATACACATATATGAGTGTCTCTTTCTTTAATTTATGAATTTATTTGCAGCTTGCATTTTAGAGTTAGTCAATTTTAAATATTCAAATGTGTTATTATGTTAATGTTAGTTATTCGCCACTGATGTGAGTGTAAATACAGTTGAAAATTGAAATTCAGGAGAAGAATCTATCCAACGCTGCTGCTATGAATGCTGCATCGAAAATCATTTTACTCATCGTTGCGTCAGATGTTGTTCTATAGATCTTTGCGTCAGATGTTGTTCTATAGAAGTGCAAACTAGCTACCACCCAAAATCAAAATGGTTCAAACTCTCATTATTTTTCCATTTAAATAATCTAACGACTAAATAAAATGTATAACATATTTAATTATTTAATTTATAGATAGAAATGTATTTTCATATTGCTATCTGCAAATTTAATTTTTTCCTTTAGAAATAATAATGATCCCGTAGAAGAATCAAAGCAACACTGTTGCTATAGATGTTGCCACTATGATCGTCTTAATCATAGTTGCATCATATGTTGCCCACATCCTACAAAAGCGCACAGGCCACCGTCCAAAATCAAAATGGTTTTTAACTCTAATCATTTTTTTAATTAAACAATCCAATATTTAAAAAAAAAAATTGTATATACTATACTTAATTTGTAGATAAAAATGTATTTTCCATATTACGGGCATGTTTGTCCATTAATTTTCTTCTCTAGACATAATAATAATAATCTCATATCATATTAAAAATATATATATTAATATTAATTATTGGTTGATGTGGGTGATCGCAGTTGAATATGAAAATCTAGTAGAAGAATCAAAGCAAGTTTGCTCTTATGGATGCTGCCAAGTTATTGGTCATTATTGTGTCAAATGCTGTCCTGGTCCTGCAGAAGTAGATGCCACCGTCGAAAACCAAAATGGTTTCAACTCTCATGCTTTATAATTTAGTTGGATCTTTCAGTATCACTTTGAAGTAAAACATAATGTATAGTATATATACAAAATTGTAACATGAAATTTTGCATGATTGTGCATTCAGAGAACACAATAGAAGAGAGTGAAGTGGAGACAAACGGATTCATAGGCAAAGGTGGAAAAGGAGGCAAAGGGAGAGGTGGGAAGTGATCAATGGAGGCTGTTTAATATAGTCACAAAGTTGTAGTTGTAGGGTACCTTACCTTAATGTTAGGGGTACCATATACCCAATAAATAAGCAAAAATAAAAATTGAAGCAAGGGATATGGTGGGCTAGAATAGAAGGGTTGGAATATCCCTTTACCAATGTAATATCGCACCTCTACCTTTATTAGCTAAAAATAAGCTTAGATAATGCATGGTAGTTGGTCCACATACGCCCATTTTGTCTTTCTCATTCTCTCTTTTTTCTATTACTAGCAAAAATTTTAAATCAAGAATGATATGAATTTCTATTTTAAAGTACAACAAGTAGGATGGAGATTCGATAACTCATCATCTTTTGGTTAGAGATATGTCAATTACTACTAAACTAAGTTCATGTTGGCAAATTTCTATCCCTTTAACAGATGGATAAACGCATGTATATATAATCGAGGAGATGAARGYTTTTTTTATGTACAATAAACGAGGTGGAGATTTGAAATTATTACCTCTCCATCAGAGACCAATTTCTATCCCTTGATAGATGGATAAACATGATATATATAATTGAGGAGATGATGGTTGAAAAACATAAAAGTCTACTTGGAAAAAAAAGTGTCCGACCTCTTCTATACCTATCAATGATATATTTGTGTGTAATTAGTTAAGTTACAGAGTGGGAGATTGATTCATTTAATAATCTAATTATAAGGTAGAAAAGGGATTTGAAAACTTTATTTWCTTAGTCTCTGAGTATTTTTTCAAATTTGTTCCGGTATTTTAAAAGTTTTAAATTTATCGTTAGGTATTAAAATTTTTTCAATTAAATCATCACAATAACCAAATTTTCAATTTTGTCTCTGAAATAGGTTTTTTAAATTTGAATTTTGAGTTTAATAAATCTTTCAACTTATTTTGTGTCTATGGTCCTAATCTATTTTGACATTTAAAAAAAAAAAAATTCACGACATCTATTAGATATAAAATTAGATTTTTTTGTCCAACAACACTCTGGTATTTAAATTTTATGTCAATAAGTCATTAAATTAAAACTAAGGTTTGGGTGCTATTTTGATTTCTGTACATTTGACTTTAGTTTATTTTGGTTAACTTAGGTGTAAAATATTCATTTTGGTCTCCTTCATTTTACCCTTTGTAGTTTRTACTTCCAAAAAAGTCTATTTAGTTGAGCTCTKGTACTTTTTAAAAGTTACCAATTTGGTACTTATTTACAAAATTTTAACACAACATAAATCATTTAAYACAAATTTATAACTACATTTCAAGCAATTTAATGATTGAAATGTCATGCTAAAATTATGATTAAAAGAAATGAGATAAAAATCAATGATTATTTTTTAAAAGTAGAAGGATCAAAATGAACATTTCGAAAATACACTAAAATGAATAAAAATTTAAAGTACAGTAATCAAAATTGACGTTTTGAAAATTCATGGACCAAAATGAACAAAAGCTCGTAAAGTATAAGAACAAAAATAATGTTTAAATCTTAAAAAAATGTCAATACATCAGAKACCTATTAGATACCACATAAAAGGTTGAGGAATATATTGGAGTACACTTTTAGATAGGTAATTCAGAATTTATGGACTTATTAGACGCACATTAATAATTACGAGACCTGGACCTATAATTATTTTAGAGTACACTTTTTGATTTTGACAAATAATTTTGTATATTTTTGTTTGTTCCATGATATGGTTGTAAATGTTTCTAACAAATAGCACAAATAATTAGAAATTTCGAATAATAGAGAAAATAACGCTCTCGGTGCGTTTGCGAGGCGGTTATTGGGCTTAAGGTGGGTCGGGCATCCTTAGACCAACTTGGAAATACTAGTCAAACTCAAAATCAAAGTTTTAAATGCACGGATTTATCATTACTTTTTAATTGTTATATGGATCTCGTCTAAAATGCATTAATTTTTTAATAAAATATATTAGATTAATAAAAAAATTAATTAATTCTAATTTTAACAATAATAAGTAAATAAAGTTAGCTAAAATTATGAGTAACAAATCAGAGTAGCACACTGGAAGCGTGGTAGGCCCGAACCTACAGGTCCCAGGATCGAAACCTAGCTCTAATATTTATTTTGATAATACTTGACTCCTTATTAGTGAGGACGGTTGACAATTAGTAGTTAGGATAAGATTTGGTCTCATCAAAGAGCCAAATATTTTCCTATTTTAATGCTTCAGTTTTATATAACAATGAGTAATTTTGATCCTAGAGTCGTATAATGAAAGGAAGAAATTTTTAGTTTTATGGGCAAGTATTTTGTTTATTTCCTCTTAGTGAATAAATACTTTTAACCTAATTAATAAATTTTATTTTGACATTATATCATCATTTTATCATCAATTGATCATAATATTTTTTTGACAATAACGACTTAATTGAAAAAAGTGTTATAGGATAAAATTAAAACTTTTAAAAGAATAGAGACCAAATTGAAAAAACATTCAAATAAGGTTTAAAATGGAACAAAATCTAAAAATTGATGAATTAAGATAGAACAAAATCTAAAAATCCAATTTGAAAGTTGATGAATTAAAATGGAACAAAATCTAAAAATTTTAAAATTAAGATAGAAGAAGTTAAAAAGAAAGWTTGGAACTAGAATAAGGTGTAAATGTGTGTGTGTGTGTGCATGGAGATTAAGATCAGAGAAATGAAGTCAAATTTGATGGCTATAGAAGAAGCATATGCAGCTCCATGATGGGGGAAGAAAAAGGCAGGCGAAAGTCCTCAGTCAATTAAATTAGTGGAAACAGAGAAACTGAGCAGCTTTTGGGTTGCCGGTTGCATGAAAACTTGAACCCTTAAGACAGCCCTAAATTGTACACGTCCTCTCCCATAGGTTTTTGGGATACTGATTCAAGCCAAAGTGATAAGTCTTTTTGAAAACCAATCATCTGCCCAAAAAATTCAAACATCCCTGCCCGCCCCAATCTAATCACCAAAATGCACATCCATTTGGAGCCACCACCACTATAAATACCATACCATCAAATGAACTCTCATCATCCATCCATCTCCAAATTATCAAAAACAGTTCCATCTTGTGAGCTTAGCAAATCGGTCGAGAGTTGCATTTTTCCCGAGTGACAAAAAGGAAAAATGACGTCCAAAACTATTTTATTTGCGTGTCTGTTGTTTGTCTCTGCTATTGTTATTGCGTCAGTGGTGGCCGAAGGAACTCAAGAGCAGCATGGGACAGTTGAAGGTATTGTATCATATCAGTATTCTTCACTTAGATAAATCATATTGATACTGAGATTCGAGCATAATTGACATATCCATAGTGTAATATATATAATATAATATATATGTACTAATTTTGACAAATCAATATCTAAATATTGATCCATAATAATTTTAAAATTATTTAACCGGATCCATATATATTGATGGTCTCTTCCATTTAATTTTTAGTTTATTTTTAGCTTGCATTTACGAGTTAGCCAATTTTAAATATACAAATGCATTATCCATATTGCAATCTCATTATATTGTATGTCTTTAATGTTAATTATTGGTTGATATATGGGTGAACGCAGTTGAGAATGGAAACTCAGTAGAAGAATCAAAGCAACGTTGTCGCTTCGGATGCTGCGGCTTTCATCCCATTAGTCGTCGTTGCATCAGCTGTTGTCCTCGTCGACCTGCAGAAGTGCAGGTCACCGAAAACCAAAATGGTGTCAACTCTCATAAATTTCTATTTGAATAATCTAACATTTAAAAATTTGTAGATAAAAATGCATTTTTCAAATTGTTTGACGTGTCTACAAATTAAAATTTTCCTATAAAAGTAATAATTATCTCATATTAAATAATATATATATAGATTAATGTTAATATTAATTATTGGTTGATATGGGTGAACACAGTTGAAAATGAAAATCCAGTAGAAGAATCAAAACAGCGTTGCCGTTACGGATGTTGTCGCTTTGATGGTCGTCGTTGCGTTAGATGCTGTCGTGGTCCTGCAGAAGTGGAGGCCACCCTCCAAAACCAAAATGGTTTCAACTCTCACCTTTTTCTTAGTCGGATCTATCAGAAGTAAAACAAACGTATAATATATATAAAAGATTGTAACATGAAATTTTGATATGATTGTACATATTCAGAGAACACAGTAGAAGAGAGTGAAGTGGAGACGAACGGATTGATAGGCGGCGGAAAGGGAGGAGGCAAAGGTGGCAAAGGAGGTTATAAAGGCGGGAAAGGAGGCAAAGGGAAAGGTGGGAAGTGATCAGTAAAAGCTGTTTTATGTGTTTATGTAGTTGTAGGGTACCCTACCTTAATGTTAGGGGTACCATATACCCAATAAATAAGCAAAAATAAATTGAAGCAAGGGATATGGTGGGCTAGAATAGAAGGGTTGGAATGTCCCTTCGCCAATATAATTTAGCACCTCTACCTTTAACCACTACTATGTAAAATAAGCTTCGATAATGCATGGTTGTTGGTCCATCTTTTCTCTCTTTTTCATTCCTAGCAAAAATTTTAAATCAAGAATAATATAAGTTCGTATTGCGCTCTTAATATAAGGATAAGCATGTATATAAAAATGAGGAGATGAAGGTTGAAAAATAAAGCAAAAAAATAATATATATAAAAGATTGTATTGCTTAATTTGGAGCATATGGTTGGAGCACAACAATAATATTTTCTCTAATTTTTCTAGATCTTATCTTCATTTTTGGGAAGATATTAAGATCTTAGCATCTTCATGGTCTACAAAGTCTCATCTCTTTTGTAATTATGATATATTAACCCATTTCACTTAATTGGGGTGTATTTGTTTAGGCTCCTTTTTGTACGCATGTTTCTTACCTACTTTNAAAGAACGAGGAGATGAAAGTTGAAAAATAAAAAAGTCTACTTGGGAAAAGAGTGTGTCGTCCCACCTTTTCTAACTAGAAATTATATATTTGTGTAATGAGTTATGTTATAGGGTGGGAGATTGATTCATTTAATAATCTAATTATAAGGTGCAAAAGGGATTTGAAAACTTTATTTTCTAAGTCTCTAATATTGGAGTAATTTTCTAAATTTGTTCCAATATTTTAAAAGTTTTAATTTTATTGTTATGTATTAAAACTTTTTCAATTAAATCTTCACTATCACTAAACTTTCAATTTTGTGTTTAATAGTCTTTTGAATTTTGAATTTTGAGTTTAATAAATTCTTGAACTCTAAATTTTGTGTCTAACGGGTCCCTAATCTATTCGACATTGTTTTAAATTCACAAGATCTATTGGACATAAAGTTGAATTTTTTGTCCAAAAAAACCTTGGTATTTAAATTTTATGTCTAATAAATCATTAAATTAAAAATAAGGTTTAAATACTATTTTGATTTTTTGTATTTTTACTTTTAATTTGTTTTTGTCTCTGTGTATTAAAACATTTTAAAAACCAAAGTTTTAAATCCACAGGTTTAAACTAGTCTACTACTCAAGCTCCCAACATAGTTTAATTTTTTAAAACCGAAACTTCTTAATCATGCATCTAAACACAGTTTTCATGAACTCAAACTTTCTAAATTACCGTCCAGTTGTCTATTCAAATTGAACATTCTTAACTAATTTTTTTAAAAGAACATATTTTCGGGGTTTAAGATGCTAAATTATTGATGCTTCAAACGCTTCCTAGAAATTTGCATTTCAACTTTTTAAATTGTGATAGATGGTAGATTATTAAATAAAGTGTGAATATTTCTGAATGCTTGAAGTTCATATGATGATGAGGTAAAATTGTTTAGGAATAATATGTAGTCAAACACACTTGGTCGTAGTTTTGAGATCCAATATTTTGGAATGATATATTCTTTACATGGGGTGATTTATTTAATAATTATGGAAAATATGCTGAATATCTTTATATTTTTTCCTCAAGTTGTAGTTGTAGTTTAATAATAGTTGTTAAAGTATTCTCTCAACAAATAAAAAGCTGTAAAAGATAAATGCATTGATTTTGTCAAAACGAACATAGTCCAAAGGTAATTGGCATATATCTTCAATAAAGAGGTTGTGAATTCGATCCCCTGATTTATACTAAAATAAAGTGTTCGTTTTAACGGATACAATTTGTTAATGAATTTATTTAAGATGGGTTCGGGTGAAAGAGGGAAGTGATTGGCACACCACATTGTTAATTGTTAATTGTGCAAGTTGCGGATAAAAATTAGTTGATTTTTGTCATTTGGTTGAAGGTCAATCTTATTTTTATTAAAATGTTATAACATTCTAAGTTACTTTTTTTATTTTATCTTTATATATACACATTCCAATTTACTTTATACAATACTTAAAAAAATTGGATGAATATCGTAGTTGAATTTGACGTGCATGTAAGTTCGAAAAACTCAATCAAAATACTCGAAAAGGGGTATAAAATATCAGAACTTGTCCCTCATTCTAAACATGATCCAAGATCCATTAAAAAACAAGATGCGAAACTTCCTCTAAGAAGGCCTTGGGACAATGGGGGCTCTCATCTGGTTAGATGGGAGAAAGTGACTCTTCCTTTAGGCCATGGAAGCTTGGGAATTGGAAATATTGTGATCTCTAATAAAGTTCTGCTCTCGAAATGGCTGTGGAGATTCCAGACGGAACCAAATTGTTTGTGGAGCAAGTTGATAACAGTCTAGTACACTGAACACACTCTCCCTGATCTCTTCCCTCTGTTTGCAAATTTGGAAGTTACAAATCTACTTGGCTTCATATCTCTAAGTGCACTGATTGTTTTAATAATAGCTCCACGATTAGGTCGATGGGTATGATGGGAGAAATACCCTCCTCTGGTATCACAATTTGGACAGGAAATGGCCCTTTATACCTTACACAACCTTGGTTTTTCGCTCTCTCAGCCAACACATTTGATGTCCGTTTGAGATGCTTGGGTTTTCTTCTTGGAACCCCCACCCCAAAGAGTTATATTTAGCAGAGAGCAGATTTCGTGGGATAGCATCTCAACAACTTTTCACTCGCCATCCAATTCTAATGATTTTGACAGACCTTTTTGACTTCACTCGAGAGATGGAATTTTTCAGTAAAGTTCATAAAATCTAAGTTTTCTGATCCTCCCCTGCTCAAATTTCTGCTACCTTTGCTAAGATGTGGAGTTTATATCTTCCTAACAAATGCCATTTTTTTTTATGGTGCGTCTTCCATCGTGGTCTTTTAACACATTTGATAAGATGCATATCACATTTCCTTCACTGAACATCAGTCCAAGTGGTGTGTTTTGTGCAACTGCTCTGGCAAAATATTAGATCATTTGCTGCTCTATTGTTTTCGTTTATGGAACAATCTCTTTTCCTCTTTCAATCTTTCATCTCCTCTCTCTGGGTGTATTGAGATCTATCTCACCGAGGCTCTCTACCCATCGTCCTATAGCAGTAGATCTATTTTCCGGAAAAATGGTATTGATGTTGTTCTTTGGAGTATTTAGTTGGAAAGAAACAACCGATCTTTTTTAATCAAATCTCGCTCTTCTGCTCAACTTTGAGAGGATATTAAAGTCTCGACATCAATTTGGTCTTCAAAATCTCATCCTTTTTGTAATTATAACTTATCTACCATTTCACTATGTTGAAGCCCTTTTATTTAGCCAACTTCTTTGGTATGTTACCTTCTATGGTTTTCCATTTCAAAAAAATTAAAATACAAAGCAAAAATTTGTTAAAATAAATATTTTAGAAGTTAAGAAACCCTTATTATTAGTTTTAAAAAGATTTAGAACCAAAATAAATATTTTAAAAATTTATAGATTGAAATAAAAATATTTTAAACTTTTTAAACAAATTAGAGTGGTGCAGCGGAAGCGTGGTGGGCCCATAACCCACGGGTCTTAGGATTCGAAACTTGACTTTGATATATATATTTTATTTTGATCTCTTTTATAATTACGATATAGCCCTACCATTGCATTAAACTAAAATGCTTTCTTCCAATTTCTTTGTAGTTTCACTCTTAATAAATGTCGAAAAATACTTAGCTACTCAACATAAGGACCAAATATTTGTTTTCCTTATTTTAATGTTTCACTTTTATATAACAATTATGAGTAATTTTGGTCCTACTCAATCATATCAAATGAAGAAATTTTTAATTTTATGGGCAAGTATTTTGTTATTTCACTTTTATTTTGATATTAATCATCATTTTATCAATTGATTGTAACATTTTATGAAAATTGCAACTTAATTGAAAAAAGTGAAAGGGAAAAAATTAAAACTTTTTAAAAGAATAGAGACCCAATATTGAAAAAAAAAAAATTCTTGTGTACAACAAATTAATTGGGACAAGAAAGTTTTGAATCTTCGACCTTAACAAATTGGGTGTTTTTAATTTAATTTTTATTCTATTAAAAAGATAATCAATTAGTCGTTTAATATTTCGTTGATTCAATATTTTATATATACGTGTATTTTCAAAATACATATTGATGTTACCACGTTAATATATATACCCGGAACTAGGTTAAGTTAGACTTATTGATTGAAATTAAAACAAATATAATGACTAAAATGAATATTTTTTAGAGTTTATCCATCCAATTTAAAAGTGAAAATACAAAGATTTAAATTTATATATGTATTAACGTTGAAGGAGCAGCGGATGAGGGAATTGAATTCAAATTTGATGGCGGAGAAGAACATGCAGCCATGATAGGACAAAGAAAAAGGAAGATGAAAGTCATCAGTCAAATCAGTGGAAACAGAAACTGAGCAGCTTTGGGTTGCCACTTGCATGAACTTGAACCCTTGAGCCAACCCTAGACTGTACACGTCTCCTCCCAGCATAGGTTTTTGCAAATATTAATTCAAACCAAAACTGATAAGGCTTTTTTGAAAACCAATCATCTGCCCAAAAAATTCAAACATCCCTGCCCGCCCCAATCTAATTACCAAAATGCACATCCATTTGGAGCCACCACCACTATAAATACAACCATCCATCTCCAAATTATAAAAAACACAGTTCTATCGATCTTTTGAGCTTAGCAAATCACTCGAGAGTTTCATTTTTCCCAAGTGAAAAAAAGAAAAATGACGTCCAAAAGTATTGTATTTGCGTGTCTGTTGTTTGTCTCAGCTATTGTTACTGTGTCGGTAGTGGCCGAAGAAACTCAACAACAGCATGAGGCAGTTGAAGGTATTGTGTATCATATCAATATTCTTCACTTATAGATAAATCATTTTTACTGCCTTTATATGCTAATACTGAGATTTTAGCACAATAGATATATCCAATAGTGTAATATAATATAATATAATATGTATGTACTAATTTTGACCGATCGATACCAAGTATATTGATCCATAATAATTTTAAAATTATTTAATGGGATCCATGTATATTTTTGGTGTGTCTCTTCTATTTAATTTTTAGTTTATTTTTAGCTTGCATTTACGAGTTAGTCAATTTTAAATGTACAAATGCATTATCCATGCATTGCAATCCCATTCTTGTTAATTATTGGTTGATATATGGGTGAACGCAGTGGAGAATGGAAACCCAGTGGAAGAATCAAAGCAACGCTGTCGCTTTGGATGTTGCGGCTTTCATCCCATTAGTCGCCGTTGCATTAGCTGTTGTCCTCGTCAACCGGCAAAAGTGCAAGCCACTATTGAAAATCTAAATGGTTTCAACTCTCATTATTTTTCATTTAAATAATCTAACATTTAAATAACATGTATAATATATTTAATTATTTAATTTATAGATAGAAATACATTTTTCATGTTGGAGGTCTAAATATTAATTTTTTTCTTTAGAAATAATAAGTATCTCATATTTATATTTAAAAAAAATATATGTCAATGTTAATTATTGGTTGAATGCAGTTGAGAATGGAAACCCAATAGAAGAATCAAAGCAACGCTGCCGCTTCGGATGTTGTGGCTTTCACCCCATTAGTCGTCGTTGCATTAGCTGTTGTCCTCGTCGACCGACAGAAGCGCAAGCCACCGCTGAAAACCTAAATGGTTTCAACTCTCATCCTTTTTCATTTAAATAATCTAACATTTAAAAAAATGTATAATATATTTAATTATTTAATTTATAGATAGAAATGAATTTCCCATATTGCTTACAATATCTAAAAATTAATTTTTTCCTTTACAAATAATAATTATCTCATATTTATATTTAGAAACATCTATCACAATGGTTGATTTTATGGATGAACGCAGTTGAGAATGGAAATCCAGTAGAAGAATCAAAGCAAATCTGCCGTTTCGGATGCTGCGGCTTTCATCCCATTAGTCGTCGTTGCAACAGATGTTGTCCTCGTCGACCTGCAGAAGCGCATGCCACCATCCAAAATGGTTTCCACTCTCATAATTTTTAATTTAGTTCCATCTACTAGTATCACTTCAAAATATTAAATAATAATAAATATATAATATTAAGCATTCTAGTTGGTAAGATGAAAAATTGTATGATTGTGCATCCAGAGAATGAAGTGGAGACGAACGGATTCGAAGGTGGTGAAAATTGAGTGGCAAAGGTTGCAGAAAAGAAAGCAAAGGAAAATTATTATGTGGGAAGTGAAGGTCTTTATGTAGTTGTAGGGTACCCACAAAATGTTAGGGGGTACCATACCAACAAATAATTAAGCAAAATAATGGAGAAATCACATCAAAGTGAATAAATAATAATGAAGTAAGGGATATGGTGGACTAGAATACAAGGGTTGGATCCCTTCACCAATATCAAATAAATACATTATAATAATAATAATAATGCAGGGTTGTTGGTTCAATATATGCCCAATTTGTCTCTCTCATTCTCTCCTTTTTTATTCCTACCAAAAGTTTTCAATTAAGAATATAAGTTTCTAGCTATCTCTTAATGCATATAAAAATGAGGACAATAGAACGGTCATTTAGTTCAGGGGCCAAAACCAATATTTCATCTACCATTATTTTTCATTGTTCCAACTCTCCCACATTAGTTTCACCTTCACATGAAAAATGGCAAAAAATTTTGATATTGCACAAATAACAATCTAGAATTTATTAGACACCTAATTTCTTTATTCACATATTTTCCACCTTTTTCCGGTTGTTATTTGATTTGTAAATTTTGTTTTCTAATAGTCCACTTTCAAATTTTACAATCAAATAAAATGTGACTATGCTATTTTTATCAAATGTTAATTACGTTTCCATTTTTTTAAACTTTGTTTTATATAAATTTACGTTTAAGAATTTTTCGTTGACCAAACCAAACTAATTCTATGTGATCTTTCATTGTTTTAAACTTTTTATCTCCCCAATCGACTGTCTTTCAATTTTCAAGTTTCGTGTGTTTTTTCCTATTAATGTTCACTAATTAAAAAACTCTCGAGAAACTCTGTTTGATATTTTAGTAGAATCTACCATTAGTTTATCTATTATATGAAGCGGTAAGTTCCAACTTGATTTGAATTCTAGTTTAATTGGAACTAGAACCTTACTAAGAAATATTATTTACATTGCTGCATTATTTCCCAATCAACACACTTTGTCGTTGTTTGAAATTAAACATATTTTGAAGTGTGTTTATAGACGTGTTTAATCTTAATTAAGTTAGAAATCTCTGTCGAAAATTCTTATAATATTTTTCTTCGAGTTTATAGTTTAATAATATTTGGTTAATGGGTTACTGGAAAAGTGACCTTCATTTAAAATCAGTCAAGTATGAAGAGAAACATGTATGGAGCTGATGGGGTGCAATCAATATAATGGTCAATTGTGCAAGTTTCGAATTGAGAAACCTGCCGTAAAAATTAGCTGGTTTATATCATTTGGTCGAAATCTTTCAGTCAATCTTATTTTTGTGAAGTGATCCAATTTACTTTAGTCTTTATGTAATACTCAAAACAAATCCACGAATATTAAAAGATAAAACATTAATTGAGGTGTGTATGTCTTTCGAAAAAAAAGGAAAAAGGAAAAATAATGTCTATTATAATTGAGTTAAATATATGTTTTGTTCACTAATGTATATAACAATAAAAAATTAATAAAAAATATTTTGATATTAACTCAATTAATAAAAAATATTGTATTTTGATATTATATAAAAATATTGCACTTACCTGTGTCACTTCAAATACATGCTCACGTCAAAAAAATCAATACATATATTTGAAGCTACGTTATCGTCCATTATTTGAAATCAAAATAAAGAAAATAGCTAAAATTAATATTTTTTAAAAAGGTTCATGAGTCAAATTTAAAAAATTTCTTTGAAGTGAGGATCATATAATAGAAAAAATTTACAACTTTTGAAATTAAAATAATATGCCACCTAAGTTTAACTCAATGATTAAATCATCCTATTTATGTGTCAAACCAATTATAGTTCTGCCGTAATTGGTATATGTCTCCAACAATAAAGTTATGCATTCGATCTCCTACCCACACACGTTTTATTATAAAAATTACAATGAAAGTACATAGAATAAATGTGTTTTAAAAAAAATGTTTTTTAACCAAAAAGAAAAATCTCTTATTTATTTTTGAGAGGTTGGAAGTTAGATCCCCATTTGCCACATTTATTTTACCAAAAAAACAACTTAAAAGTAATATTTATTGGGGCATCAACGTTCGAAGCACAGGAGAGGAATTGAAATCAAATTTGATGACCATAGAAGGCATTTGCAGACAAGAAAAAGGAAGACCAAGTCGTGACTCAAATTAGTCGAAAAAGAACATATAAAAGAAAACACTTGGCAAAAACTCAGCAGCTTTAGCTTGCCAGTTGCCAGTTGCTAGAACATGAACTCTCGATCGAGACAGCCCCTAAGTTTACACGTCTTACTTCATCTCTCCCACACCCTAATTTTTTGCAATATTCAGAACAAAGTGATAAGATTTTGGACTCTGTATCACCGCAAACAGAAGCAAAATGCATCCTCTCCTACCCAATTTTAAAATATCCATTTGGAGCCACCACACTATAAATACATATACCATCAAAGAACTCTGATCACCCATCCATCCCCAAATTATCAAAAATAGTTCCATCTTGTGAGCTTAGAAAATCAGTGCAAGTTTCATTTCCCAAGTGAAAAACAAGAATGAGGTCCAACGCTGTTGTGTTTGGTTGTCTCTTATTTATCTCTACTGTTGTTATTGCATCCGCAGTGTCTGAAGGAACTCAAGAGCAGCATGAGGTTGAAGGTATTGTATTCTACAAATATTCTTTGCCTATATATACATAAATTTATTGTCATTATATACTATACTCGGATCTAAACATGATTCATATGTCCAATAGTGTAATATGATATAATAATTTCCGAGTGTCTCTTTCTTTAATCTATGAATTTATTTGCAGCTTGCATTTTATAGTTTGGTCAATTTTAAATATTCAAATGTGTTATTATGTTAATGTTAATTGTAATTGGTTGATGACAGTTGAAAATGGAAATTCAATAGAAGAATCTAAGCAACGTTGTCCCAGTGGACGATGTTGCGTCGTCAATCGCTTTACCGGTCGTTGCGTCAGATGTTGTCCTCGATCTGAAGAAGTGGAAGCCACCGCCCAAAATCAAAATGGTTTCAACTCTCATTATTTTTCCATTTAAATAATCTAACATCTACAAAAAAAAATGTATACTATATTTAATTAATCATTTGTTGATGTGAGTGAACACAGTTGAAAATGAAAATTCAGTAGAAGAATCTAAACAACGTTGTCCCAGTGGACGATGCTGCGTCGTTAATCGCTTTACCGGTCGTTGTGTCAGATGTTGTCCCCGATCTGCAGAAGTGGAAGCCACTGTCCAAAATCAAAATGGTTTCAACTCTCATTATTTTTCCATTTAAATAATCTAACATCTACAAAAGTATATACTATATTTAATTAATTATTTGTTGATATGAATGAACACAGTTGAAAATGAAAATTCAGTAGAAGAATCTAAACAACGTTGCCCTAGTGGACGATGTTGTGTCGTTAATCGCTTTACCGGTCGTTGCGTCAGATGTTGTACTCCTCGACCTACAGAAGTGGAAGCCACGGTCCAAAATCAAAATGGTTTCAACTCTCATTATTTTTCCATTTAAATAAATATCTAACATTGATACTATATTTAATTAATTATTGGTTGATGTGGGTGAACACAGTCGAAAATGCAATAGAAGAATCTAAGCAACGTTGCCCCAGTGGACGATGCTGCGTTGTTAATCGCTTTACTGGTCGTTGCGTTAGATGTTGTCCTCGACCTGAAGAAGTGGAAGCCACTGCTCAAAATCGAAATGGTTTCAACTCTCATTATTCTTCTATTTAAATAATCTAACATCTACAAAAAGTGCATACTATATTTAATTATTAAATAATCTAACATCTCGAAAAATGTATACTATATTTAATTATTTAATTTGTGGATAGAAATATATATATTTTCTATATTGCTGACATGTCTTCCAATTAATTTTTGCCTTTATAAATAATAATGGTCCCATATTATATTAAAAGTATATATATGTTAGTGTTAGTTATTGGTTGATGCTGAGCGAACGTCCAAAACTGTTGTATATATTGTTTGTCTCTACCATTGTCATTACGATCGTAATTAGAGCAACATGAGACAGTCGAAGGTATCATAGTCGAAGGTATCGTATTGTATCAATATTTTAAACTAGTTATATATCTGTACTGAGATTCAAACACGAATATGTATATATATATCATATAATATATGGCTGCCCTGCCCAAACTCAACGAAAAAATACAGACTGAAACCATTCTGACAAATTGGCTCAGAACAACAATATATGATAGTTCTCCCAAATCTAACTATATATATATTATTCATATTGCAATGTCATATTATGTATATGTTAATGTTAGTTATTTATTATGATAATAAATGTATATATACTATGTAACATGAAATTTTGTTTGAATTTTCATGCAGAAATTGGAGTAGAAGAGAGCAAAGTTGAGACAAACGGACGTATTAAAGGAGGCAAAGGAGGCAAAGGAGGAGAAGGCAAAGGGAATGATGGCGGCAAAGGTGGAAAAGGCCACGCTAATGGTGGAGACTGATCAGTGGAAGCTGCTGTATATTATGTAGTTGTAGGGTACCCCAACAACAACATAATGTTAAGGGCCTAAAGGATACAATACAATACAAACAATATCAAATCAAAGGGAATAAATTAAATAGTAATGAAGAATAAGGGATATGGTGACCTAGAATAGAAGGGTTACATTCCTTTTCTACCTTTAACCATTACTATGTAAAATAAACATATATAAATATGCATGGTTCTTGGTTTCATATATGCCCAAATTTGTCTCTCTTATCCTCTCTCTTCCAGTTTTAAATTAAAAATATAAACATAAGGGTCTGTTTAAAAACGTTTTAGTTTGTTGTATTTGTTTTCCGTTTCTGTTTCTTGTTTCCTACTCTTTAATAAATAGAAAGAGAATTTGTTTGATAATTGTTTTAAAACATGGTTGGTAATAATTTACTGTTTCTCGTTCTCTAAAATTTCAAATTAAAAAAAAGTTTTTTTATATGAAAATTAATCTTTTGAATTAAATATTAAAAATTTGTATCTTATATATTTTATAAGTATGATAAAATAATGTTTTTATATACGTGTTTCTACAAAATTTTAGAAATAATGTTTTTTAATTAAAATTGAAAAATAGAAGCAAAAGTAGTTACCAAGATTTTTTTTAAATGAAAGCTAAGTGAGTGGAAGCTGGTTTTTTGAGTTGAAATCAAAATAAATATAATGGCTCACATGAATATTTTCTAAAGTTCACTGATCAAATGTAAAAGTTTATGAATTAAAATAGAAAAATAGTTTAAAGTTTGAGGATGATAAAATAGAAAAAAAAAATTAAAAGTTGTGGAACTAAAATAAGATTCATATGAAAATAATATATATATATATATAGGGCATTAATTTAAAACGTTCAGAGCATAGGAGAGGAATTGATGACAGTTGAAGGCATTTGCAGCCATAATGGGACAAGAAAAAGGAAGACGAAATCGTCACTCAAATTTAGTCGAAAAAGAACCATAAAAGAAACACTCGGCAAAAATGCAATCAGCTTTTATCTTGCCAGTTGCCAGTTGCTATGAATATTAGTTTTGTATAAAGAATACCAAAATGGTTCAATTTCCTATAAATCGACAGAGATCATCGATTCGAATTTACACCTTCACAAGTTGTTGTATGAAATATTTCTATTTCTTTTTTTCAATAAACAACGAACAGAAATAGTTACATGTTTCTAATTCTAAAAAGATTAGAAACAAGAAAGAGTGTTACAAAACGGACTCTTACTATTCGTTCAACTAATACTTGTCGGAGTCTCCATCAATCTATATGTGGCTCTAAATATATATCTACATCAGCACATTATAATCACACATATATTGGTAGCTACGTTATTCTTTTATCAAATAAATAATAATTGTTAAAATGAATACCTTTTAATGTGCACATTTCCAATTTGGAAATAAAAATTGGAACTAAACCTGAAAGTTCAAACATCCCTGCCGTAATCTAATTACCAAATGCACCAATTGGTAAATATCCATTTGGAGCCACCACCACCACCATATATAAATACATACAACTGATGGCAAAGGGAATTAGAAATGAAGGTCTTTATGCGTTGGAGCAGCAGCAATATCACCTACTGCTTCATCTTATCTTGCTGCAACAAACTTGAATAAATCCTCTTTTACTATATGGCATTGGCGCTTTGGGCACTTAAATTATATTGCTGTCAAACAATTGAACAAACAACACTCCATTCAAGTATGTGATTGGAAGAAAATTGCATGAGATTTGCCAATTTACCAAAACTAGCTTGTAGACTCCCTCATTTATTTTGAATAATGAATTAATCCGTTTGATAAGTTTCATTGTGATTTGTGGGTCCATGTTTTTAATAAGAAATGAGATTAATTTAATTTAAGTTGTTTTTGGCTATGAGCACTAGTGGTGAGTTATTATCATTAATTTTTCTTCTTAGAACTCTTTCAATAGTTTATTCTTCCTAATGACTTCTTAGTGGCTGTTTTGCTTAGTTATTCTCAATTCCCTTTGCTCTCTACTCCTTTTGTTTTCTGTTAGCTTATGCTTTTTATTTTCTTGGCTCCTTTTGGCTTTAAAAGGTTGCCTTTGCTCCTTGTTGCTAACAATTGGAGGTAAACGGTTTTGTCAAGAAAAATAATGTGCTGTGTATTTCTCATTCTCTAACTGAAGAAGCAAAACCTATGAACCTATATAAAGCTACGTTGACAAGCATAAAATAAGCAAATGTAGATAGTTTTCTCATGCTACTTTTTTTATTAATAGAATGTCTTCCTCTCCTCTTCGAAAATGAAAACTCCCTTTTGAGACATTATTTAAACAAGAATCAAACTACAACTTTCTTAAGATTTTTAAGATTTTTGGATGTCGTTGTTATCCTTATTTAAAAAGTCAAGCTAAAGACAAGTTTGCAAGGAAAAAAATAAAAAAATTATATATATATATAGACTCTTGTGTGCTTCTAATAAGGGTATTATACGTATCTAGATCCGGAAACAAATAAGATTTCAAGAGAGGTTATATTTGATGAAAATTATTTTCTCTTTGATAAACAAGCTATACATATGTACCTCTCACTTGTCAATCTCTAGAGATGTCTAGTTTTGTAGATTCCGCAGCGTGGCACTCTCCCATAGAAGCAGAGATGGGAACACAAACAAGAAGAAAAAAAGAATGCTGTAACACTCAAGAGGCCTGTGTAATTTACTGATCTAGAGACCACAAAATAAGGTACAAAGTAGTACCTCAAGAGATCAAATAATAGAAGTGCAATAACCAGAGGAGGTGTCCAACAAGGAATCTCGAACTCAAAATCCAATAGAAAATTCAATTGAAACTTGTAGCTCTCCCACACAGAACAAACATCAGAACAATGCACAACCAGATAACTTCAACCTACTACCTGAAATATAAGTGATTTTTTATCTATTGATCATCCCTTTAGTGATGCAGGTGCTGTAGTTCAAAATGATCAGACACCAAATCAGGGAACACATCCCATGATTGACCAGATTGATATTGTAATATTTTGTGACAATAAGGACGACTAATTAATTGAAAAAGGTCCAATGCAATTGAAGCTTTTAAAAGAATAGAAACTCAATAGAAAAAAAACACCCAAACATATATTTTAGCCTTTTAATTACTATAAAAAGGTAACCATTTTCGTGATTAGTATTATTTGGTCCTTTAACATTTATTAATCTAACTACTTGCTACTTGCTTTGGCTCTAAAAATATATGCACACATCAACATATTAATATATATACTCTCTCTTTCTGCACTGTTTCTATACACACGTTTTCTCTAGAATCAATTATATGAGATATTTGAATTGTCCTTCACGTCCCACGATCTCTTTATCCAAGAATTTATGTCTAGAAAAACATTTTGTGGCCTAATACTTTAGGCTCTATTATGTGGCATATATGGTTGGAGTGGAATAATCGTTTTTTTCGGACTCGTACAGATCCTCTCTCAACCTTTGGGAAGAGGTAAAGGACTCTGCATCTCAATGGACATCAAAGTCTCCCCTCTTTTGTAATTATGATGTAACTACCATTTCTATTGACTAGAGAGCTTTCCTCCAAAGCTCCAAAGCTCCATTTTTTGTATATGTTATTCAAATGAAATGGTTCTCTTTTCCAAAAGGAAAAAAAAATACATATACTCTCGAAATTATGGTATATATTTATTGAACATTTTAAAAGTCACATATAAGTTTACAAATCAAAATGAACTAATTTGAAAGTTCCAAGAACAAAGAATAGGAAAGTTTGAAAGTCATGTCGAAGCTAACATAAGATTTAGATCTAAAATATATAATATGGAGATTAACGTTGAACGCAGAGGATGAGGGAATTGAAGTCAAATTTGATGGCCATAGAAGAAGCATATACAGCCATGATGGGAGAAGAAAAAGGAAGACGGAAGTCCTCAGTCAAATTCCCAATTGCAAGAACTTGAACCCTTGAGACAGCCGTAACTCTACACGTCCTCTCCCAGCATAGGTTTTTGCAATATTAATTCAAACCAAACTGATAAGGCTTTTTGAAAGTACAGTGTCACCCAAATCTGCTGCCCAAAAATTCAAACATCCATGCCCCGATCTAATTACCAAATGCACCAATTCCAAAGTATCCATTTGGAGCCACCACCACTATAAATACAACCATCAAATGAGCTCCCAATCATCCATCCTTCTCCAAATTATCAAAAACAGTTCCATCTTGTGAGCTTAGAAAATCAGTGAAAAAAAAAAAAAGGAAAAATGACGTCCAAAGTTGTTGTAGTTGCGTGTCTGTTGTTTATCTCTGCTGTTGTCATTGCATCGACAGTGTCCGAAGGAACTCAAGAGCAGCATGAGACGGTTGAAGGTATTGTATTCTACCAATATTCTTCGTTTATATATACATAAAATTTACTATCCTTATTTATTATATTGAGAGTTGAGTTTGATTGATATATACATATAATAAAATATATGTAATAATTCTGATGGAACAGTACCTGAGTATTGTTTCATAATAATTTTTCAATTATACAACGGGATGCATATATATGTATGAGTGTCTCTTCTCTTTAATTTGTGGTTTATTTGAAGCTTGGCATTTTTTAGTAATTCTATTTTAAATATACAAATGTATATTATCTGTATTGTAATGTCATATAATTACATACATGTTAATGTTAATTATTGGTTAATGTGAATAAACACAGTTGAAAATGGAAATCCAGTAGAAGAATCAAAGCAACGTTGTCGTTACGGATGTTGTCGTTATGATCCAATTCGTCGTCGTTGTATCAGATGTTGTCCTCGTCCTGCAGAAGTGCAAGTCACTGCCCAAAACCAAAATGGTTTCAACTCTCATCATTTTTTCACTTAAACTAACATTTTCAAAAATGTGTATATACTATATTGAATTATTTAAGGAAAATACATGGCTCTCCCTATTGTATCCTCACCAYCATTGAAATTTTGACAACTCATTCGTTTTGAAAAAGTATATGTTTTCACATTTCTCTCTCTTACTTGTCAAACATTTAATGGTGGCGAGAACAAAGTAGAGCGTAACGAGCCAAATATTTTCTATTATTTTATTTGTAAATAAAAATGCATTTTTCATATTGTTGACCTATCTGCCTATTAATTTTTTTTTCCTTTGGGAATAGCTAGTAATTATCCTATATTATATTCTATTATATTAAAAATTATATATGCTAATGTTAATTATGGGTTGTTGCGAGTGAACGTAGTTGAAAATGAAAATTCAGTAGAAGAATCAAAGCAGCGTTGTCGCTACGGATGCTGTCGCTATGATCCATATCGTCGTCGTTGCATCAGATGTTGTCCTCCCCGTGCAGAAGCGCAGGCCACCGCCATAAATGGTTTCAACTATCATCTTTTTTTTTTCAATTTAGCTACACAGTATCACTTCAAAATATTAAATAACAATAAATAATATACATATGCATAAAAAAATTCATATTAATAGTAGCATTCTAATTATAACATAAAATTTTGYATGACTGTTACATCCAGAGAATGCAGTAGAAGAGAGTGAAGTGGAGACGAAGGGGGTTGTAGATGGCAAAAATTGAGTGAGCAAAGCAAAAATGAAGTGGGAAAGATGGGAAAGCTGTTTTATTATATATGTATAATTATGTAGTTGTAGTTGGAGGGTAGCAACATAATCTTAGAGGTACCATACCAACAAGTAATTAAGCAAAATAAGGGAGAAATCTCAAATCAAAGTGAATAAATAATAATGAAATAAGGGATATGGTGGACTACGATGAAGGGTTGGATCCCTTCACCAATATGTGGAAACCCTCTACCTTTTACTGTTACTATGTAAAATAAACATATATATAATGTAGGGTTGTTGGTTCTATATTGTCTCTCTTTTCTCCCTCTTTCATTCTTAGAAATTTTTTAATTAAAGAGTATAAGTTTCAATCCTTTAATATAWGAATAAGTATGCATATAGAGGGCACGCCTAGTATTTTAATAACTCTCCTATTTCAAAAGGGTAGCTCACTATTCAAACTCCACCAAATAATTCTCCTTAATAGAGACTTCCTCTAGTATATTATTGTATTGACCATATTTATTCACCTCCACACTGAAAAATGGCCAAAAATGGAAAATGATGGACAAATAATTATTTACAATTTAGATTAGACACTTAATACTTATTTTTCACATATTGTCCACTTTGCCCTTGGTTCGGGTTATTATATGGTTTACAGATTTTGTTTTATTTTCTAATAATAATCAACTTTCAAATTTTAAAATGAAATTTTAAATATGATTTTGCTCTCTCTTAATTTGAAATGTGGATTACCTTTTTCAATCTTTTGTGATATATAAATTTACGTTTCATAAATTTTTCAAGCTTCTCTTTAGATCTTTCGTTTTTTAAAGCTGCTAATTTTATCTCCCCTGTCCATTTTTCAGGTTTTCCATCAACATAGTCTTTCAATTTTGTAAGTTTCATGTGTGTTCTGTAATTAATGTGCAGCAATTAATACATATGCCATTACCTKAAAATATTGTAATCATTYATGCAGCTCCTAATATATGAGCACATTAATGCATATGCTCAAAGTAACGATATTCGATATTCATTTATTGAAATCGGAAGAAATGTAATATCTAAAATGGATATTTTTAAAGTRCACAGAGTTCATTAAAAATTTATAAAGCAAAATATAGAAAGTGTTATTCTTTGGCAGGTAAGAAAGAAATCACTGGACATTTATAAGTTTTTCAAAGACTATAACCAACATTTGGGAAGACATTATATAGTCAATGCTTTTGTTTCGTCTACAAAATCTAATATTTTTTGTACTTAGGAGTTATCTATTATATCTCTTAATTGGAGTGCTTTTATATAGGTCTCTTTTCTTGATCAATGAAGTCTCTTTCCCAACAAAAAGAAAAATAAAAAAAATAGAAAACGTCCGATTTCGGTAAGACTTGATCTGAATCGTAGTTCAGATTCAAGTCAGCGGAAAGGAGGAGGAGACGGAAGGCAGTATTCCGAATCTATGTCGGAATTGGCCCGAATAGGTCAACCTTTCAAACTGCTGCTGAATCCATGGGAAGTTTTAAACTTAAAAGTATATTATATTGGGAASTAGCTAGGTTTAACGTTCAAAGCAAAGGAGGGGATCGTGAATTGAAATCAAATTTGATGAGACAAGAAAAAGGAAGACGAAATAATCCTCACTCAACTGAGTAGAATCAGAACATAAACAAACACTYGGCAAAAACTCTGCAACTTTAGATTTCCAAGTTGCCAATTGCTACAACATGTGTACGCATCTTCAATCTCCACCCTACGTTTGTTTAACATCCAAACCAAAAAAAAGCCATTATTCTAACATGTCATTGTTCTAAACCAAATGCACCGTGCCAATTCCAAAACATCTCTATTGATTTGGAGCCACCACACTATAAATCCATACCATCAAATGCATCTCTCCCAGCGAAAAAAATGACGTCCAAAGCTGTTGTGTTTACATGTCTCTTGTTTGTCTCTGTTGTTGTTATTGTGTCAGCAGTATCTAAAGAAACTCACGACTACAATGAAATCACAATCGAAGGTATTGTGTTATATCAATAATCTTATATGTAAATAAATTTATTGTCATTAATTATATACGCTAAACTTACTGAGATAGACAGGATATATCATTATACTGAAAATCTCATCATTATATACCATACCGAGATTCCATATACAATAGTTGTCTAATTTAATGTATGGGTGTATCTTGTCTTTAATTTTCGGTTTATTTGCATGCAGTTGAAAATCTAAATTGTCCCTATGGATGTTGCTTCAAGAAGTATGATAGATGCACCCGATGCTGTCCTCGTCRTATAGCAGCCCAGGCGACAACCCAAAATGGTTTCAACTCTCATTATAATTTTTTTTWTTTCATTTAAATCTATCATTTCAAAGTATTAAATAACAATAAATAAATGTGTACTATACATACAATTATTTTCTAATTTAATGTAGGAGTGTGTCTTCTCTTTAATTTGTGGTTCATTTGTAGCTTGCATTTTTAAGTTAGTTAAATTTAAATATACAAAATGCATTATCCATATTGCAATCGTATATTACGTGTATTGTCTATATTGCAATCTCATATTACGTGTATTTTTGTTAACGATCTCACATCAATAAAAGAAGGGATCTTATATAAGTTTATAATAAATATGGACTATTCTGATTTTTAGATGAAACTCATGAATATTAATATAGTATCAGAGTCTGCATAGGTTTATAATAATGGGCTAGTCCTTCTATTACTAATTGGTTTTGAGATAAAACTCATGAATATTAATAATTTTAATGGAATTATGTTGATGTGAATGAATGCAGTTGAAAATATAGAATGTGCCCATGGATGTTGTATCTGGTTTGATGCTAGTTGCGTCGAATGCTGTCGCGCTTCTACCATAGCACAAGCCACAACCCAAAATGGTTTCAACTCTCATTATTATTATTTTCTTTTTTCATTYAAATCTATCATTTGAAAGTATTAAAAAACAATAAATAGATGTATACTATACATATAAAATATATCGATAGTGGCCTTTCAGTTGTAACATAGAATTTTGTATGATTTTGGCAGAAGAAGATGGTGAAGTAGAGGCGAACAGATTTATGAGTGGTGGAAAAGGAGGCGACAAAAGCGAGATCTGAGGCAAAAGGCGAGAAAGGGTGGGCAAAGGAAATGTTATGGGTACCATACCAATCAATAATTAAGCAAAATAAGGAGGAAATCAAATCAAATAAAGCATAAGGGAGATGGTGGAAGTAGAATAGAAGGGTTAGATCCCTTACCATGATGCCGACTCTACTTTAATAGTTGTTCTTTCAATATACATATATGTATGTGTAAATATATACCTGTATTGGCTAACTTTGTCTTTAATTTAAGTGTTGGAGTACATTTAATGTGCACTAAATTGTCGGTCAAAAAAAAAACGTGTAGTGCGAAGTTCTAACACATGCACTAACTTAGTTTAAGTGAGGCTTCTCAATCTAATTCAGGTGAACACATATCCTCGTCTCGAGAATCTACGACATCAACTCATTATCAAACTGTTAAATTCAAAATTTTATATTCAATTTTGAAAAACTTTCTAAAAGTGGGAGAAGAAAAATAGAAACCCTTATATTCATACAAAATTTTTCCTAAAAATTAAAAACTAGACTACTAGAGAAAGAAAATGGGAAACGTGAAAATATTTCTCAAAATTGATGAGCATTTGTAATCAAGGGTGGATCCAGCTAAAGTCCGGATGAGCCACGTGCTCTCCTGTACCTRAAAATAAATTACATATAGTTCACATTTTGATTAATAAATACCTATCAAAACTATATTTTGGCCTATTATCTACTACTTTTATAATACTATTTACTACAAATTTTAGGTTAAATTATAGAAAAAATACTCCTATCGTTTTAGAAGCTTCAAAACTACTCATGTGACCTCTCATAAATGTTATAAAAATAACCATTTAGCAAACATTTGTTAGCATTTTAAATTAGTAATGTACATGTTGAGATTATGGAGCCCAACCGAAGTCGGAACGAGTCAGAATCTAGTCGAAATAATGGAAGAATTTAAAAGAGGAAGGAATTGTTGCACAAGTCATTTAGGTCGAGAGGACAGCAATGAGACGTTCCTGACATTAATAGTGAAAGGAAGGAGGCAAGCAGATTAGTAAATCAATGCTACATGGTCGTAGTATTGAGATGTTGTACGCACGTTGCGACGAGATTTCTGTAAATACATTTTTTCGTTTTAGGTTTTTTGATAATTATGTTGGTACATATAATTGAGTGTCGGTCATAACAGTGTTGGTGCATAGTTTAAAAGGGTTGAGAGGCAGTGTTTGGCAGAGTTTTAGAGACGAGATCTCGAGGTGGTAGAACGAAGTCRGCAATCTAATTCTCATGAGTATTTGATGAGGTTTTTCATTCTTGTTTCCTAAGATTTTATATTGTTGCTAGTGGCCGGCTTTTGTCGAGGTCTCTAAATTTGAGAAAGTATTGTATTATCCCAATATTATAATGGAACTCGTTATTGAGGAGAACTGAATCTAGCCCATAGTATAAATCTCTTACATCGTTTATTGCTGTTGAAATACTTATAAATGAATTAAATTTACTCAACTCATCAACTTAAGCTTTTGGGTTGAGTGATGGTTTATTCATCTTTAATAATTGCATTTTTTCTATCTTTCTTTTATTTTGTGATTGTTTTTCACTGAATAAATGTAGAAGGGAAAAATATAATTAGCGGTCCAAAATCGACACCGACCGTCGAGCCTTTGGTYGTCGGTAGGTTGGTATTTTACTTTTTTTTCCCCTTCTTACACATTTAACGGCCATCATTGATTAAGGCACTGGTGAGAGAAAAGAGGAGTTGGAGACTGAAAATGAGAGAAGAGGAGGGAAGAGGCTAAGAAGAAAACAGATATGAAATGAAAAGAAAGAAGAAGATAGATTCGAAAGGGAGATGGAAGAAGAAAGATAAAAAATAATGACGAAAGAGACAAAAAAAAAATGAAGAGAGAAGCATGAGAGGGGATCTAAAGAAATAGAAAAATTATCCAAATTTCCATTAACAGTATGTATTATGTAAGGAAGTTTCTGTCTTTTTCCTTTGGTGAAAAAATCGAGAGAAGAAAGAGAAAAATCATGGGAAATAAAATAAATATATAAAATTTAAAAAAAAAAACAAAAGAAATTACCCACGCGAATCACGTGAATGATAAGAGTGTTTAAAAAAAATAAAAATAAAAATAGAAAACAACATAATAGCTGCATGCTTTCAACTTCTGGACCTTTGTGTGGTTGTTCTAGTGACAACACTGCTTATCGACCCGAACCTAGATTCCTTGCATGTTCACGYGAATGACTATGAAGGTCATTTCTATTCACTGCCCTTCTCATAGAGTCGTACGTGGACGTTACTATTCAATTGGTAAATGATTTATTAAAAATGTGACCTTATTTAAAATTTTCATTTTGATTCTGGTAATTATTTTGATTCCTAAACTTTGAATATAATGTATATTTTAATTGCTCTAAATAGATGTTTTGGTTCCAACAAATGTTWAGGCATTTTAATAATTTGGTTTCTAATCTTTAAAATGTTTTAATTTTCAACCCTTATGTTTCGATTTTTTTTTTTTTTGTTAGATTATGTCCTTACCATCACTCAATTTTGAGGGGATGAAGATAAATAATTCTAATTATATAGTAATTTTCATGAGTCTGTGGTATATGGTATATTAGCATTCAAATTTATATAATAATATGTATTATTGTAGGACGTTTGTCTTTTCAATTTAAAACGGAAAAATGATCCATAATTTTGAGAGCCAAAGTTTTGGTGTGTGAAACAGATGACAAGAGAGAGAAAATAAAAGAAAAGTAGAGACAAATAAAAGAAAAAGGAAAGAGAAATGAATCGAAAGAGAAGAAAAGGGGAGGTTTTAGGCTTGGGTCAACGTGGAGATTTGGTGAACTGAAAGCTGGTGAGTTCTRTTAGGAGGTCGAGTAAGAGAAGTAATGGGAAGATAGAACTTTTAGAAAGGTTTACATCGGTGGGTTTGGTTCTTCATATCATGTTCAAGAAATTGCTTAGAAGAAATGGTAGATTTTCGACCTTCATAATCGATTGGACAGAAAGATAAGAGTTAAGTTGAAGGTTTTTGGTAAAGATTAAAAGGAAAATTGTTGGGTTGAAGATAGAAGTTGCAGAAAATTGTTGAAGAGGGTGGAAATTTTGTGGGTCGTCAAAGGAATTATCGATAAAAATTATTTTTAGTAGAACATGCACAGATGGGAGATCGAACTTACTGAACCTCTTAATTAGAGATATAACMAATTATCGCTGAACTACTCGCTTTGATAAATAAGTAAAAATTGGTTAAAAAAAAAGGGTGTATTTACACTTGAGGTGAAATTGAAAGGATAAAGAAGCGAGTCCGTTGTGTAGGACAAAATGATGGTTTTTAATGAAGAGAGAATGAGGAATTATTTTTTTYTTTAAATGTGAAAGAATGATAGATTGGACGTTTGGTTTTATTTAGAGGTATTGTGGTGTATATTGAATTTAGGCATGAAATAATATGGTCTTTGGATTAATATTTCAGATCAAGGAGAAAAAGGAGTAAATTATATGCCGTTCGTATGATTTGTAGCTGGTTTATTTTATAAAATGTTTTAGTTATTTATTATTATATAGTTCAAGAAATTATATAATTATGTATGATATAGAAGTTTTAACTAAGATGTAGATATGTTTATGTCAAAGCGAACATAGYTCAACAATAATTGGCATCCCTCCGATCAAGAGGTTGTGAGTTCGAATCCCCTCCTCAACATGTTGTATTTATTTGAGAATTTAAATTTTTTTGTGATTTTATAAAAATTTATACCGAAATGATTACTCATATATTATATAGATGTGTGTCTATAGTATGCCTAGACAAAGGTCTTCGGGATCATTTAGCTCTGCGCGCGTATAAGTAGAGATTGTTCTATATGTGTATATTGAGATTACTCTATGTCAGCAAATCAGATTTGTTTTGTTATATGTTTGAGATTACTCGTTTTACGGATGTATTTATAAAATATTTCGAGCAGGTCGAGAAGTTGTAACTAGATCATAGGRGGTGTCGAAACAATTAGGCGTCAAATTTAGGTACCAAATCCTGGTTCAAATCTTAGACTTGGGAGCATTACTTTTTTGTTTGTTCAATGTTATTACAAGTTTTTATGAGAAATTTTTTTTAGTTATTAGTTACTCAAATTTTAAGAAGTTTTATCGAGCTTTGAACTTCTTTGTTCTATAAAATAGTTTTACAATATTATTTTTCCTATTAACTTATCGCACACTAAGCTTTCTAGCTAACTCATTATTTATCATTTGTTTTCCTTCCAAGGTTGTACTTGAGTTCCAAAGAGATAGTTGACCACTTTTTTGCCACTAAGAGTCCATTCAACACTTGCCTATCATTTTTGTATGTACGTTTAGTTTTATTAGTACGTGAAAAAGTTTATCTACATTGTGCATATAGTATATGTTTAGAGTGGGTGTAAGAATAATATTATTTGTAACCATTCATACTATGCTTAGGTATGTTTAGTAACGTATTTAGAGCTTGTTAGATAAAGTTTAGTTTAAAATTTAAAAAAAAAAAATTGATTATGGACTCCATAATTAGTTAAGGTCTATGGTCGGCATAACTTATTGTAGAACTAGTAAAGTATTTTAGGATGGGTCGTGTCATAATATGAGTTGTATACTAACTAATCTGAAGTTTTAAATTTTATGGGCAAGTATACTAGTAAAGTATTTTAGAACGGGTCRTGTCATAATATGAATTGTATACCAACTAATATTATGAAGTTTTAAATTTTATGGTCTAAGTATACTAGTAAAGTATTTTAGAACGGGTCGTGTCATAATATGAATTGTATACCAACTAAAAATATTGTGATTATATATGTTATTTCAAATACATCATGCTCACCTCTGTGCGTAAATACATATACTTAACATTACATTTATCAGTTAAAATAACTATCTTTTAAAGTCCACGAATTCAATTTGACAGTCCATAAGTCAAAGTTGAAGAATAAAAACGGGAACAGAGTAAGATAAAAATATATATACTGCAATGTTAACGTGTTCAAAGCAGATGAGGGAATTGAAATCAAATTCGACGACGTAGAAGCATTTGCAAAAATGAGTATAAAAAATAAAGAAAAAAATAAAGTCTTTCATATCATATAAGAGACCTAAAAAAATTTATAAATTAACTGAAATACTTATCTCATTTCCAATTGATTTTTAGATATAATTTCACAGATATTGTGAAATGATGAAAATTTAACAGATTCAAACTAGCATTCAATTTTAGAAAATGAACTCTCASAAA